TCTTTATTTGACGACCAATTCATTTTTAAAAAATAAAAAATAAACAAGATAATGTGTGCGTGTGTGTATATATATATATTAATTGCGTGTTCACAATACTCAAATTCTACTCATTTAAATAAAGGAGTTCATAGTCAAGGTCTGGTCTGAATCATTTACTCTGAATACATCTGGATTAAGAGAGTTGGATTGAAAGGAAGAGAAAGAAGGGTTGGTTTATGTTTAATTTTAAAATGAGGAGGTAAGTGAAAGGAATAATAGGAGGGTTTCATAACTTCTAAAATAATAATTTTACTATTCTTTTATATGTGACGTGATTTAGATTGTGACTTAATAATATCTTGTCTTCATTTGAAGTGAAATATATGGCAATTAAGTTTCTCTAAAGCATTATGAGAATTATTTGTCAATAAAAAAGTAAATAAAGTTGATTTTGAAAGAATGATGAGAAAGAAAATAGCCATACCTGTTCATGCATGTTTTTTTGACCCACAAAATAATTTATATTGTATCACTCCATTCACATAATTAAATATTTATTTATTTTCAATAGCATCCCTTCATTTCCCAATCTTAATCAAATACAATGACGAATTAGTGCCTCTACTTTTTCTTTTTCTTTTTTTGTCCTCTTCGTACGTTTTACCATAGAAAATATTACTAGTAATTTTTAATAATGTAGAAAAATACGAGTTGAGTATTTAATTTTTTTATTAATTAAAAATTTACTGTTGTATAACTTAATCTTGTTGCAACATACCATCTGCATTTATAACCCAACACAAGCTAGCTGTCCATGTCCGTAGAATTCATTATAAAACAATGGGGGACAAGTTATTCATGGAAACCATACATGCCATTAACTTTTATTGCATGCCCTCTTCATTTGAAACACCAAGCGAGTGAATAGGACCCACTCAGTGGTTCTTGGTAGGCACCTTCTTTTTGGCCCGCCCGCAAATCTGTGGTCCCACGTAAACCAACCTTTGGGAAACCTCCTCGTGACCATAGTTAGACTTTTTAGCTTGTATCTTCCTCATCGTTTTTATTTTAGGAATCACATAAATTAATCTGCATACACGAGAGGCCTAAATGCCTGATGAATAATACTATAAGGCAAAATGTTAAAAAATAATAATAATTCTCGAACTATCATAGTTTTGCAATTTAAGAAATTTTTTTTTTTGATGAAAATATCGGTATTATTTCAGTCTAATATGTTTGTCATTGTTTTGAATATTTAAAAAGGAGAGAGCCATTTTTTTTTTTCTTTTTTCTTTTTTTAACACTAATTTTAAGTCTTTGGACATTAATGATTGGAATGGCAAATAAAATCGATCGGTACTTAAAACTCCCCACACAAAATAAATAATTTATTTACATTTCTTACTTATAATTTTGATTAACAAAGTATTTGATAAAAATCACTATATTTAAACACGTATCTACTAAGTTTTGAGACTTTAAACTCACCCGTAATTATTGACAACATAAACTTAGTTCTTTTTTATTTTTTCTAAAATTATTTTAATTTTTTTTGGTATTTCATGGAGTTTTTTTATTTTTTCTTTTCTTTTTTTTAGTGGTAAAACAAACACTCACACCCTTTTTGTCCACGAATCCCTACCCTCCTTTCTTAGAATGAGTTGATTACTCTGCTAAGCCAAATGCACTTGGTTAGTTTGATTTTGTTATAAGTAAAGAAGTTCGGCATAGGAAACAAAGTGAACTCCGAATAGGAATTCAAGGTTGTGGGTTTTTATTCTTCTTTTTCTATAGTTTTTATGGGTTGGGATTACCGCAAAGAAGTAGTGTTAATGATCCATATTTATCATTTGATGAATTTAAGGTCTCATAATTTTGAAAAAATGAACTTGATCAAAATGTTGACGTGGATATGAAAAAACATTTTTTTTTTTTACATAGAGGTACTATTTTTATGCACATGGGTATCACTTTTTTTGTACGTAGGTACCACTTTTTGTACAATACATGTACTATTTTTTTTTTTTGCAGCACAAAAAGTGATACCTGTGTACCTAAAGTTGATACTTTTTGACAAATGAACTGTATTATTCTCTATCCATATTAGTATTTTGGTCAATTTTATTTTTTTGAAATTATGAGACTTTGACTCTATTAAATAATAAATACGGGTCATTAACACCATTTATATGTAATAATCCCTTTGAAAAATTGGATTGCCATCGTCCAGTTTTGGGATTCATTTTTGGGTTTTGTGATTATATATATATATATACACATGTATTTGTGTATATATATATATTTTTGGTCGGTATTTGTAATTTCCATGGGTGCAATTTTATCTTGAATTAGGTAATTGTTTATTTGTTAACTTTGGCTGCTTTGTGTGTTTTAAAAGTAAAGTTTTTAATATATAAAAAGATCTTAATATGGGAAAGAGATAAAATTAACAAAAGTTATGATTATGGAATCCAAACCCTTTGAGACACTCTTTTGATTAAATCTTTAATTAATTAAGACTATAAGTTATAATTTTTTTTACCATGAATGAGTGATTTTTTTCTCGTAAATAAGAACTTCGTTTTATTAAATCATTAAATAATTAAAATTAGAAGTTACAATATTTTTACCATGAAGGAATGAATGACCTATTTCTCATGAATAAGAATCCTACTTTACATAATTCACTTAAAGTTTTTTATAAATGTATATTGATTTTGTATTTTCTTATTAAAGTTAAATTTGAAAGAGATACCTAACAATCCGGGGCAGGGTCAGGATTTTAATTCAGAGGGGCCGCAATGTAAAAAAAAAATATATAATTTAAATAAAAATAATAATTTTTAAAAATTACATACTGTATACATTATTCTTAAGTGCAAAAAGAAGAATGTTAAAAAGAAGGGGGCCAAATAAAATTAATAAGAAGAAGAAGAAGAAAATTGAGAAATTTGAAAGGAAAAAAAATCAGAGTTTGAGTAAAGAAGGAATTTTTATTTTTATTTATTATTTAAGGAAATCAAATAAGTATTAAGAGCAAAAGAAAAAGGAAAGAAAAATTTATTAGACAATTTTAGAAATTTAAAATTTTAGGGGGGCATTATATAAAATTTTTCTTATAAATGTACAAATTAAAATAAAAATTATTATATTTTATAGTTGGCGGGGCAGACCAGGAGGGGCATGTGCCCCCTCCGGGGCCTCCAGGCACATTGGCTCCGCCCTTGCTAACAATAACTTAAATATATAGAGCGTGCTGAAGAGGATACTATATATACAACTATATATAGTAAAAAACATTAGTAGAGAAAAACAAATTATATATATATATATATATATATACACACACACATATACATATACATATACTTGTATATACAGTAAAAATCATTAGTAGAAAAAAGCAAATTAAGGCAGAGAGAGAAATGTATGGTAATTGTTCGTTTTTTCTTTTTATTTCCAATTGACAATTTCTTTAGTTTGCTAAAATAAGAAACATAAATGTATAAAAGACACAATGTGTGGGATTGAGTTGAGCCTTCCATAATATGTATTAAAATAGAGGATAGTAATGTCTTTTTAATTTTCGACCACATTAGAGTTAAAATAAAATGTCAAATTTTAATTGCTCTTTGGTATTTTGATTCATATTATGGGTTGCTGGAATTGGGGACATGCCTTGCTAATACAAATGTATTTGATTTTCCTTTTTGTTTTTTTAAGGTAAGTTTTTTATGAAATAATATTTAGAAGTGAATTTTTTTTTTTTGTTAATGACAATTTAATATCACGGACTAATATATATATATATACATACATATACATATATATTTGATAATTTAGGAGTTTTATTGTAATATCAAGGAAGTTTTTGCAAAAACTTAATAGTTTATATTTTTTTTTTGCACCCTTCAAAATATTGGAGCATTACAATTTGGTGAGTCTGAGGGGGCATAATGTTCATAAAAGTCACAACATAAATTCTATTACATTTTAAGGAAAATATAACGGCACTGGACATTGCAAATCTTTTAAATAATTCAGTTCTTTTACCAAATTAATAGTTATGATTTATTATTATGATTTTCTAATCTAGAGACTACTAACTATTATAGCTTTATCGAGTGGCATTTCTATAATATTGGTCACTCTACCAAAACTATGATTTCTTGCACCTTCTTGGCGACGGCGACGAATAGATGCTCGTCTTAGATTGAAAATTATTATTTTACTTAGAATAAATAATATTATGCAATTCTTGTGAGAGAGCTGAAATGGTAGGGGAAACTATCATATGATACGCTATTATGTAGTGTCGTCTAATAAAAATTCTCAAATGAAAAAAAGTTGAATTCTAAGAATTTAGTAGAAAAAAAATTCATAAAAAATTAATAAGATCTTATAAATACATATATATGTACTGATACACTTCTTGCCCATGTTTTTCTCAAAGAAGTTTGTCTCGATCATAGTTTGGAATAACTAAGTGTGTGTATATATATATATATAATTAGTTTAAAGTTTGAACTAATATAATTTTCAATTTCAATTTTAAGATATGTATTCCATGCGGCCCGTAAAATAATGGAGTAATGAGACTATTTTTCTAGGGTAAAGACCTCCTTGATGGATTAGCAATGTATAACGGAATAAAATAGAAGATCCAAAAATGGCACTTTGTAATTGAATTGTGTGATTTTCAATTTATCAGCTTCTCTAAATCCCACTTGATTTTCGATTTATTTAATTTTTAGTTATCTAATAGTATATATTTGTATTAATAATTATGTTTATCCTTTTTCAAGGAAATCCAGCCAGTAAAAACAAAATTGAAAAAAAGAAGAAGGTTATTGGTAAGAAATTTTACCAAGAAAGTTTTTGCAATTTGTCCATTAACTATTGAAATATGTTGCAAAAAACCTTCTAAATGAGATGAGTTATAATATTTCCTATAGCTGAGGGAGACAAATTGCATGCAGGGGTAACTCGTAAAAATTTCTATGCTACAGAAACTCAAACGATAACCAATTAAAGAAAAAAAAAAACAGGAAAAATTATTTTTAAAAGAAGATTAGATAAAAAAAATAAAATTTCAAAATACTATAAAATAATTAAGAGAAGAGGTTTAAAACGAACCAGACTCAACTTCCGATAGAGAAACAAATAACTGCAAACAATCTCAATCACAATGCTGCATTTAAACGATAACGAAAGATTCCACAAATCCCAGATTTGTACTGAGAGAATCAGAGACTGGGTTGGAAACTGAGAACACTGACAAAGGTAATCCCAACTTCTTAGAGTTTGATTTTCACGTCTAAATCGTTATTTCTCCCTCGTTCGCGCATTGTTTTTTGAGTTTGATTTTTGGCTCAGGATTTAAATTTCTGAAAACTTTTGCATTGGAATGATAATTAGGGTTCTAGTTCGTGATAGGATTAGAATGTTTCTTGATTTTCCGGGCTAGAAAGTTTCGTGATTATATGAAGTTGAGAATTATCAATAGTGGGTTTTGTGTATAAGGCGATAAAGAATTGGTTTATGGAACTGGTTGTCTAGGGTTTTGAGATCATACTAGTAAAATTTGGGTGAAAATCAATTGTGGGGTTTTAATTTTGTGGATTGATTTGGAGGTGGGTTTTACAATTTTGGATTTAGCTCTGGGAAAGAACTTTTTGTCGTAAATGAAGGGGAATTTAGAAGGGAAAAGAAGAGAATGAAGGGAAAAGTCATGGGCTTAGAGGTACAATGATTGGAGTGTCATCTTGTATACGTACAGGGAGTTATGGATCACTGCAACCACAAGCACAGAATGGTGTGTTGCGGAGTCAGAATTCATTTGGTTCGCGCAAGTCTTCCAAGATGTTACTTTCTGGTTCGAGGGAAAAGGAAAGGTTTTTCTCATTCGTTTGCAGATATTTGTGTCGACGGAGAGTTGGAATGCTGATATTGGTTATCTTTGCTCTTTTGGCTTTTATGTCAGGGTTCTTCACAGTTAATAAAGGTTTGTTTCTCTGTCACTGGTTGATTCTTTTCTTCTTTCTTTCACGTTTCACAATTCCTTCTATGTAAGAGGCAATGTAATGTAACATCTAATCAGTTTTGAGGTGACTGATTAGTTTTGACTGGGAAGTTGCACATTTTTTTTTTGTCTTGAAACTTACATATTTCATCTATTACTTGGTATTCCTACAGGAAGAAAAGAAAATTCCTACACAGTTGGAGGTGTTTGAAACTTAAAAATAAATTTATCACTTTTGAAAACATAGTTGACACTTATAGAACACTCACTGACATGCACTGACATGCACTTAATATATCTTGTATGTATAACTTGAAAAAAAAAAATAATAATAATTGTGAGGAAAATCAAAGGGTTTATAAAATATATATATATATATATATATATATATATATATATTTGACCATATTAGAAACAGAAGCTGTAGAAAAGGCTTGTTAAAGGAGTGCACATGAGAATATGAGAGAGTTAGAGGAATTACATTGTGAACATATACATATGCATGTGCATATGCATATACATGTACAAATCTATGTAACTATATATACAAATACACACACACACACGCACACATGTATATCAGTCCTTGTTTTGAATTTCTCTGTACTACAAGGGTGAATATGAAATTATGATAATATATAATTTTTAAGTTGTCAATTTCATCTGGTCATATGGTAATATATTTAGTTTTCATGGAGTAATATTTATTTATCTATCCAGTAAGTCACAGAGTAATATTTATTGTATACATATTTGAAATACATATTCTATTGTCAGGGTCTTGTCATATCAATGTCCCGCTTTTTGTTGTCGTTTTGGTGTTTACATGTCGTGTCATGTTTGTATCTGTATCCTTGTCGATACTTAATACGTGAGAGCAAAAGGAGTCATCAAGTTATTTGTTATGAATTTCTCCATATGTAAGGGTGTTCATGATTAAAAAATTTATATGCTATAAATTTCATAATATCAAAAGTAGGTGTTATAAAGTAGTGTTGTCTTATATATAGTTTTTCATATGAAAAGTACATATATATATATATATATATATATATATATATAGCCGTTTTCTTCTGTCCATGTCACTCTTAAGATTTATTATTGTGTGCACTTTCCTCAGTATCCTGTGTAAGTGTCCATGGTTCTTAAGCTAGGATTAGCTGGTTGTTAGATTTTTAAACTTCCTGTTGCATGAGATTTTGCCTGATAAAACAATCTTTATCATTAACTTCTTGAGTTAATCTGTATTTTGCTGATCCATGGCAGACATATGTAGCCCGTGATTCATATACTTGTTTCAAAATGTCTATCGGAATTCCGGTTTCATTTTTTATTTTTTTAATTATTATGTGTTCTTATTTAACTATTTACGTATTAACAATTAATGTGTTTGATGGATTTTGGTAACTAGATGATGCTTTGGAAAGCACTAGTTCTAACCCTCGTCAGAGAATTTTAAACACGAGACAGTTTGGTAAGGTGTCATATTATCATATATGCTCTCTGTTCTTCAGACAGAAGGTGAACAGGACAATAATATTTTTTTTTTATACTGAACTCTCTGACAGCATGTGGTGAAAGTATTGGCATTTTTCCTCCTCCTGCTCCCCATGCTTCTGCTGCTAAAGTTATTGCAGGCCCTGGTGCTCTTTTGGGCCATCCATGCAAAAATTTTGTGTTTCCCCCTCCCCCTCCTAGTGATAGAAAACAGATCGGACCACGCCGTAAGTTTGTGTTTTTTATATTTATTTATAAATTGTTTCCATTTCTGGGCCACACTAATTGATCTACCAGTATTATTGTAATTATCAATAGTTATAAAATTCAAAAAACCTTGTCCATATATTTATTTTAATTTGAAAGATATGAAAACCTTTACTTTTAGTTAAAGTAACAATCATGCATGTGTAATGTTCATGCCGCTGCAGTCCTGTTGATTTTGCTCTTGCTTATTTTCCTCAGCATGCCCTGTATGTTACCTTCCTGTGGAGCAGGCTATAGCTAGCATGCCAAAATCCCCATCAGTGTCACCCATGCTTCGTCGTTTAACTTATTTCCATGAAAAAAATCCAATTAAAGATAAACCACATGGAGGGTCTGACTTTGGTGGGCATCCTTCTCTAGATCAGAGGAATGCTTCTTTTAATATAGAAGAGTCAATGACTGTGAACTGTGGGTAAGTTTCGTTTGTACAGTCTTTTGTTTCCTTAGGCTTAGGTACCTCTACAATGGCATACGATGATATTTCATTTTACTTTTTCGATGCATTGCAGTTCCTTGTGATTTATTGCTGGTGAATGTTCTTTTCTTTCAGATTTATCAAAGGATGTCGACCTGGCCACCATACTGGATTTGATATTGATGAAGCTGAGCTTAGAGAATTGCAGCAGTTCCATGAGGTCATTGTTGCATCAGCCATATTTGGTAATGTTAAGCAATAAGATATCTTCAAACTTTCACAACACTTCTTCTTTAATGATATGTGATAATAATTGAACCCCAAGCCTATCCAACTATCCTTTACTTTTAGATACTATGTTAATGCTTCTATCATTGTGCCACTATGGTTTGAAATTGTTCTTTAATGAATGTGGTTTCCTTTTTCTAATCAATATATTTTTCAGGAAATTATGATATAATACAGCAGCCTCAGAACATTAGTAAAACTGCAAGAAAAAATGTTCCCTTTTATATGTTTATTGATGAAAAGACAGAGGCAGATATGAAGAATTCTAGTGTCTTGGACAACAGCAAGAGGGTTGGATTGTGGAGGATTATTGTTGTCCGCAATACTCCTTACACTGATGCAAGACGCAATGGAAAGGTCGGTTCTTTATCTATCGATTTGCTTTTCCCTTCTGTTTCAGAATGTGCTTCAGGTGACTTGTGCTTGTTCAAAATTATACAGGTTTTTGATAGACTACTACTCTGTTTTACTTGCTTTTGGTGCAGAGGATATTATATTAAAATTACTATCTAAAAGGAGTAGAAGATGATAATAAGTTTGTAACTAAATCAGCAAAACAAAGGGCAAGTTGAAATTGGATGAGATCACATGTTCTTAATAACGGCTTCATGACTTAATGCATAGTCCGATGGAATGGAGTGTTGTGTGCTCTTGAAACCATAGGATCAATAATTTGTTGAGGGTGTTGGTGTTATTATTATGAATTTTATGATGGGTACTAGAGTCTGCATATGGCTAAATCATTGAACTGGTTTCCACATGGTCAGTGGTTGTGCCGGAGTTGTTTCAGGGAACTTGAAAGTTAATGGATTTTAACATGTGGTCAAAGATTACTGCAAAAAGCAAACCTACATGCATATATGACTTTTCATAGTTGGTGTAATTAACTATTTATTTTGTCTTTTTTCTTTTAAAAACTTTCCCTTGTTTGTATAACCAGTTTTTCTGCTTTTGGAGAAAGCATACTTTAATCAAAGAAATCTGAGTTGTAAAATGAATTAAAAATATGATTTATTCTTTAAGAAAATCTGATAGCTAACACATCTTGTTATAAATAGAACTGTCATATATATATTATACATGATTTTTATTTGAAGATTTTTTTAGCTTTTGAACACAAAGATACACAAGCCATGATGGTGAATATTCTCAATATTTTTTATTTCTTCTTTCTTGCTTCCTAAGCTTTTGAGTTCTGATGGCCATATCTTCCCCAGTAGGAAACAAGGAGGATTTTTCTCCACTGTTTACTCTAGTAACAGTAAATCTTCAATAATAGGAAACAACATCAATTAGAGGATTTTCCTCCATTGATTCCTCTATTAAATTTTATTTTATTTTATTTATTTATTTTTATTATTATTATTATTTTTCTCTTTCTCATTGGCAAGAAATACATGCACACACCCACTTTTGCCCCTATGGGGACTTAAACCCTCGACCTTCTACTACTGTAGAAGGTAAGGAAGTACCATCAGGCTGCAAGGCCCCTGGTCTATTAAATCTTCAATATATGTGGTAAAGAACATAAGAAACAACCAAGAATAAAGTAGAAAAGTCATGAAAGAAACAAGCGGACGACATTTATCTACCAATTTAAGGCTTCTTCATGCATAACTCAGCTTTGGTGTATAATGGACAGATTTATGGAAAAAGAAAAAAGAGTATAATGGTCAGATTTAATTTGCCAACCAGTGATAGGTTTTTGTTTTCTAAATCCTAGGATATTTATGAATACAATAAGTGGTATGATAGTAGTTTTTATTTATTTATTTTATCTAAATGAAAATTTTTAGGTCTCCTATTCAATTTTTGGCCTGAATTTGTGCCTAAAATTCTGTTTTTCTCCTATGACAAAAATATGGGTTCTAACATATCATTAGCTCCTCTTTTCCGCTAAAAAGAAAGTAGAAAATACCAAGCTACCTATGTCATTTTCAAACATTCACGCCAAGCCTATTATTAAAAAGTTACTCAATTTTAAGTAGGAATTGTTATCGTTCAGAGAAATTTTTACTTTTTTTTTGGTTTTAGGGTTTCTTGAGGGTGAACAGAATCTATACATATAACATGGAAAATAAGAGTGATCCTGGGTGGACTGGCTAGTTCATGGAAGACGAGGTTGACTTACAACAATAGAGAGATTCACAGTCAAGACTCGAGAGCACTGGACTTCTCAAAGTGTTGTTAAAGTTAAACTTAGTATCTAGAGGAAAAGTTGGTCTTAAGAACTCTTAGGGTCTCAAATATGCAAGTGTCTTGGGCAATTCTCTTTTGTTGTTCTCTAGTTTTTATTTTTCAGGGACGGGTGCTTTAGTGACAAAAAAAAAAGTATTTGGCTTAATAGCGTGCTTTTAGCCAAAGCTAAAAATTTATGTTTTTTTTCCAAGCAGAGGCAAATGATATATAGAAAGAGTCTATATATAGAAAAGAATAATTATAAAGTGCTCACAAACTACATTGCCAAATACTGTGTGATTTTTCAGAGACCTCGCTCTTTTGACGATTTACATAAAAAAGTGCTTGTTATAAGTTAAACAATGCCAAGCAGACCCTACATATAACGTTGCTGATGCTGACATTGTGGCCCTACTGAATCATGATGCTTACCCCTTTATTCCAATGAGATGCCTGCATGCGTGCTGGAGTTCTCTAATTAAGACATGGTAGTGGGGGCACTGGTGTCATACGAGGTGAGTAATCAGATCCCTTGTGTATCAATGAAGCAGTCCTCTATTTAGTATAACAATAGAAAGGGAGCGTAGGAAGGATGAACGAAGCATCCCTAAGGAAGGGAAGGTATCATTCGCCCTTTTTGTTTGGTTGAGTAGAAGGACAGAGAAGGAGGTGACAGATTCCATATATTTTTTATTATTATACCCACATTATATAATTTGACAAAAATTAATGAAGGGTACAATGTCACTCATAATAGACAATATTTATCCTTGTCTTCTCACATCTCTTCAGTCCAATTTTGGAGGGATATAAAGTGGCGGGTTAGGAGGGACGCGTCATTTATCAAATTATCATCCTTCTCTTCCCTTCCATTTGACTCTTGCTTGTACCAAACAATGAGACTTGCTCCATCCATCCTCTCTTCCCTCCCTCCCTACCTTCTTTCCTAACAAATGCAGCATTAGGTGGGGCTGCATAGGCTATATGTGGTATGTTATATAGTTGCCTTGCTATGGACCTATGGAAGCATGTCATCCAAGACTTCAAGTGATTTTTCCTCTATTCCAGCCATGTCAAGATCCGTGTAGGCCTAAAGGAGGATTACCTTGACAAACCATAGACTTTATTCACCAAGCCAAGTGCTTGTACTGCCTACGATCCTAGTGGGTTGTAACATATCTGCATACCTTGGGTCGGGTTATGACGATGATCGTGCAGAGTTATGATATATCTGCGTATCTCGATTTGGTCAATGATTACAGCCGCTTGTCAAGTTATAGGTGCCTCTTGAGTCCTGCTCCCAACTAAGGTAGTGCATGAGGCACATCGGGACACTTTTTCCCCCCTTGAGTGAGGCTTCGTTTAAGGATGAGAGGTCCTAGCAGTAAGGCTTATGAGGTGAAGAGATCCTTTCCATCTATATTCTGGTGTCAAGACTTAAAAGAGAAGGTTCTTACAATAACAAATGCCTTCCAGAGGGTAGGAGCCCCATTGGAGTCACAAGTGCTAGTGGATAAGATATGGAGATCTAGCTGCAACCAGACCCACACAAAGAAGAAAATGAGGAACTGTTTGTAGTGTGAAATGGATTGGATGGCAGAAAGAGTGTGTAATCTAGTTGTACTGGAGGACAGTAGTGCCAAATTCTTCAAAAGAAGTTATATATGTGAAAATTAAACTGAGAAAGTAGTATCCTTACTGGACGCTAACCCTGAACTGAGGTATTAGATTGTAGTGGTGAATAACTAGGCCAGAACCTCGAATAATATTAGGAGTAGTCTTTACTTTGGGTTAGTGATAGTAGATAAGCTAATCAAGAGCTGTTTTCTACATATAGTAATCCCAGCGTTAATCATAAAGATGCTAAAGAGTAATTCTGTCGAAGTATTCATTAACTCAATCCTATGAATCATTAGCAATAAGTTGGGGTATTAATTCCACATAAGCTGGCACCTGTTAATAACACATGTTGATGCAAGTGCCACTGGCTGCCACTTATTGGCAAATATGTGACGAAGCAAGTCTTGCCACTTTGGTGCCATGTGCAGAGTGGGAATCATGTCCCTGCAATTTGAAGTTACTGCTGTGGCCTTAAATAGAGTGGAATGGAAACATGGGATTCATGTAGCCGACCCAAAGTAATTGGGAGAAGGCTTGGTGGTGGTTGTTTTTGTTAGTTGAAGTTACTGTTGTCTCCTATTTAGAATAAAGAATAATAAGAAAGTGAAATTGGGATGTTAAGCCATCAACTCAGCTTTCCTTTGTTTACTGTTAGATATGTTTTCTTTATGGTGCAAGTTTTTTTTGTTGTACGATATGGGCGGTGTTCCAGTGATCTAATTCGACTCTGGAACCCTCATTCATTTGTAAAATCTTTAAAAAAATCTAAATAAGGCATTAAGATTGTTAGATTTTGTATGACCCATGTTGACTTGTTTCAGGTTCCAAAGCTTCTACTACATCGTCTCTTTCCCAAAGTCCGTTATTCTATATGGATTGATGGAAAGCTTCAGCTTATCGTGGATCCATATCAAATTCTTGAGAGGTACATCATGCAATTTTTGTGTCAACTTTTCATGCACTTGATATGCTAAGAGAGGATGTTTTATACTAATCAGTTCTGCTTGTTACTGCTGCTGATGTGCTGAGAAGTGCATTGTGTGAGATCCTACACTTTCTTTATTGTGATATTTGTAGCTTGATTGATGGAGAATTCAGTGTGTCATCATAGTTTAAATGGCTATTGCTTTATCTAGTTAGTGTCTCACATTTGGATGAAAGGGTGTTATTTATTGCAACTATTAGAAATTTAACTATTTGGTGAGCAATCACTTTACTTGCTTTATCAATTGTTCCTGTTAGTAACATGTAAGTAGTGACATAGGGGGTGCATCTGAATTTTCTTACAACATTCGAATGTGTTGGCCTAAAGGTTTCCCAACCAAGAATATCTTATGACACAATCATTGTATTCTTAACTCTTATTCTGAGTTACTTGTAAAAGGTTGGTGCAACCCTGAAGAAGTCTAGGTGAGGTATTCACTGAGCAGCTTCAGAAGCTGCATAAGGTTTACTCTTTACCTTTAACAAAAGATTTGCAAGGGGGTTTGCTTTTCACCCGAAGAAAGGCAGTTGAGTGAAATCTCAAGAGGTCCTCTTGAGTTGTGGATGTAGGCACGAGGGGCCTGCCCTTCCCCCCCAAATCTAGGGTCCTTGATTGGGCAACAAAATGCATTACTAATTTGGGAGTTGCATGGTGAACTGTCATAGTGAGTTATTTTCCATGCTTAATTTTGCACTACGGCACAAAAACATTTTTTTATCCATTTGATATTGTGGTCATGAATCAGAGTTATAGTCCTGACTGAAATTTTACATATACCATCGTTTCATTGTATCCTATCTTGTAACATCAAAATGGCATTTGCGAAATTATTGGCTCTGTATGTGTTCCTGTTATTTTAGTGTCTGGATTATGAAGATTGTATACAATTGCGAATTTTATTATGGTCTAGTGCATGCTCCATAGCCACTTGAAAATTATGTAAAATGTGCCTTTCTTAGATGTTCTTCGGGTTCAATTTTGACATTTATGGTTTGTTCCGACTTCTGATCATTATTGTGCTTTTATTTTTTTTCTTTTGAATGTACGCAACTCAACAAGAAATTTCCTTATGTCCAAATACCACACTCTTTGCCAGTTCAAGTTTGTGTAAGAAGTGAAAATCATTTTCATTTTTAAGCATCTGCTGCAATTAATGCATCATGATACGCTCATGTGGTGCCTTAACTGTTTTGTTGTTTAGGTTCTTGTGGCGACAAAATGCTACCTTTGCTATTTCAAGACACTATAGACGCTTCGATGTTTTTGTAGAAGCTGAAGCAAATAAAGCTGCAGGGAAATATGACAATGCCTCCATTGATTACCAGATTGATTTTTACAAAAAGGAGGGTTTAACACCATATTCTGAGGCTAAGCTTCCTTTAACTAGTGGTAGGTCCATGATGTTTATGTATGTGTGCTTATGGTCGTTTTTCTATCTCATATGGATTTTTAGCTTATGAATGAGTTTCTGCAGATGTCCCTGAAGGGTGTGTGATTATAAGGGAGCACATTCCTATAACAAATCTGTTCACTTGTCTATGGTTCAATGAAGTCGATCGTTTTACTTCCAGGGATCAATTAAGCTTCTCCACTGTAAGGGATAGAATTATGGCAAAAGTTAACTGGAGCGTCAGTATGTTTATGGATTGTGAAAGGCGGAATTTTGTGATACAGGTACTAATATATATACACTTAATGTGGGATTGGAAAATCAGTTCAAAAGCATAATCTGTAAGTGATTTGTCCATTTTTAATCTGCACAATAATGCTATCAATATTATTTTGATTAAATAATTTATTCGTAATATTTTGGAATTCTGAAAGACATTTTTCACGAAAGGGCATTACATTCCCACATTTTCTGAGTAGAAGTTTTAAAAAATAGTGTATATCTATACTTTTCAGCATTTTGAATTTGCTATAACCCTAAATTGCAGAATGCAGTCCTTATAAAAGATCTTTTGTATTTGATTGGATGTATGATCTCTTGAAATAATTTGTTTAATACCAACTACTAGTCTAGGGTCACTTAAATTTAATCTTCATTTCCTGAGCGTAAAAGTCTGTAATATCTGAGTGAGTTGCTTTTCTTATTAACCTTTTGTTATTATTGTATTGTATTATTAACCTTTTGTATGATCTCTACTTCATTTTTGTATTATTGTAGAGGCATTTTTTAAGGCAGGTAGTAATTTTAGATAATAACATATATATGGGAAATTAACATTAAATAACGTATTTTTACCCAATTAAAAAGCTGTGCAACTCCAAGAGAGTTGGCTCTTTATTGTTTTTTGTTTAGGAAATTTTTACTCCTTTTTTCAGTAATCTAGTAGAATTTTGCAATAGGGGCAGTTATTTAAATACTAACAAACACATGGGATTGGAAAACCAGTTCAACAACAAAATTATAAAGGTTTCTTTTAGAGGTCATTTTCTTTTGGAAATACATATTGGAATTAATATTCGGCTTATAAGTGATCACACTTTTCACACGCACACACACATACAGCGAATCTGATAAATACACTGACCTATTCAACCTTTTGAAATGGCGGCTCTTGCATGAATTTTGGGTAGTAGGTCACTGTCTCATAATCGAACTCTAGAGGAATATTATCCTTAATGCTTGCTCCCTCATTTTCTTACTATTTGGGAGTTAAGTGGGCTAGTAAGGTGTACCTCACTCTCTTGCTCATATAAATATGCTCTTAGATCATTTATCATCTAAAGTTGGTCAAACAAAGAAGGTTTGTTTGGATGCTTTGGGGAAATTTAATTATCTATTTTCTCATCCATAGCCTTTAAGGTAAAATATTATTTAACCTAAAAAGCAGATAGTGTATACTTGAAATGGAGCTTTCACCTGAGATGATGTAAAAGCATTCATTTTTTTTTAATCAAAATTTGGCAGTTCATGCTCTTAACATTTTGTAATGAATTGGAAATACATTGCTATCAATGTCATATGAAACAAATGAATTAATTGGAAAACTGTGGGATGTCTTAAAACTGCATTTAGTGGATAGCACTTGCATGACTGAACTGTTGAAATTTGTTTTTGAACCTTGATTTTTACTAATAATAATTTATTTATTTTCTTTAAGCATCCTAGACACTGATATATTTGTTTTTAAGTACAGGCCTACCACATAATAATTGTTTTTTTTAAGCGTCATAGACAGTGATAAATTGGTTTTTACTTACAGGCATACCACAAAGGTCAGCGTCGCAAGGCTCCTCCAGTTCGTCCCATAATTCGTCCTCCAACAGCATTCATAAAGAAGAAACCCGCTAAACCCGCTAAACCCACTAAACCTGCTAAACGTGGAAGAGGAAGTAGAAAATCTGGTTCAAAGCATCATCGCAAAGTTGTTGCTGGTAATAGGGGCGACATTTCAATTTGATTCTTTTTGGGGAATATATAATATAGTTTTTCCCTTTTCATTCCGTTTCATGAGGAGATGGGATGATTCCGGCTGGTGTGTGGTTAAAAGAGAAAAATGGTTTCTAATTTTTGCTCTGAAATGGGCAAAATATATTTTCATTTTAGCTGTAAAATGGACAAAATATATTTTCATTTTAGTTGTAAATACCTTAACTCCAAATAATTTTGATTCAAGTTCTTGCCCATTTTCTTTTCACCCACACTTCCATTTCAGTAATGCTAGATTGGATTCATGTTACAGGCAATGTTGAAATTGTCAGTTTCAAGATTCTGACAAATTTGATCTCTTTGGTCATTTATCTTTCTGGAATTTCTTATTTAGTGATTGCTATTACACCATTGAAAGATTTGATTGAGATAGTAGGCATACATGATTCATTAACGAAGCCTGGCATATGGTAGGTTTATCATTTTGGTCCACCACTGCCAGTATGGCTTCAGAGCATTATTCTTGAATACAATCCCTATAGAAGAGTGTGTGTTTATGTTTGTAGAAATATATATATATATATATTAAATAAATGTTTTATTTTATGATGTTGTATTCCAATGAGGTCATTGTTTTTGGGTATGGAAAAGTAAGCTTTCGGGATCAGCTCTTGATTCAAACATCTGATTGATTTTCTGGGTTGCTTTTGTTTGCTATTGGGTTTCTTCTGTTCATTGTGGCATTTGTTAAGGACAGGGAATTTCTGATCTTCAAGCAAAGGGCGCTGTGCTTCTTCATGTTGCAGTGGTAATTTGGAGAGTTTAGTTTGAGAGGAAGCTTGATCATCTTGCCGGCTGAGGCAGGAGGCTGCTGGAGACATTGCATTGGGGCTTTCGTGGGGTTTTCTTTCTCGCATTCCCTATGATTAATCTCGGCGAGAATTGTGTTTCTTCTGTTATAGAAACAGACCTTAAAACAAGTTAACGACAGGTTGCATTCTGCCTGTCTTGCTGCTTAGCTATATTTTTGGATGCATTAAAGCAAACAGAACTAAAACAGCAATGAATTTGTGGGTTTTTGTCGACTGGTTCTTTTACTCCATTCTATAGAATTTCTATGCAAATGTTGAATGTCAGGACTCGGGGGATTGAAAAAAGTTTAAATCCTGGGTTCATGAGTTTGCTTGAAGACGCTCGCTATACGGAAAAGTATAGTCCATGCGACCAGAATATAGGGTCGAGATGGTTGCTTGAAATTTGATTAGATCATATGAGATATGAGCATAATTTCTCTTCATGTTCTAATACAAAATGTGCTCATGCAGTCATGTTGCCTTTGTACATTAGTCTTCTTGTAAACTCTATCTTCAAAAAAATAATGGAACACGCCGATTTTATTGTTAATTCTGGCTATTTTGTGTACCCTTTGAGTGAATTAGTTGAGTTCACGCACGCACATATTTCCTGAGATCTTTTTATGTTGTCTGTGCCTAGATTGCATTGGTATATTGTGTTAGTTTTGTTGGAAACGTGCAAGTTTTAAAAACTTTTCGAGGGATTTTGATTCATAGATCTTGATTCATCACATAGAAACAAGTTTTATATAAAAATAAAAATATGATGTATCATTCAATTAATGGATTGAATACATCAAAGGTCTGAGTAAACCTTTAAAACTTTCCTTTAAAGTGAATGCTCTCACTTATTGTAGATCCCTTAACAAGATGCCTTCTCCTTGGATCTCCATCTTCTTGGTAATTATTTTGCCTTTAGGAATCACTCATAAGCCTCCATGAATGACCTTGAAAACTAGGCTTGTGGGAGCCTCCATTAGATGAGAACATAAATCCTAATTTTCTAGAGAGAGAATATATATTTCTTTTTCCTTCTACTAAAAATTATTCCTAAAATATACATAGACCATGTATATTTATAGGCAACATAAAGATAAAAAAAAAGAAACAACTAATCATTCTCAATGTCTAATTCACATGTCTTAAATCTAATATGATTCCAATATCAAGTTGGGTTATGAGTGAGAATCCATTGGGCCTGTTATTTTATTGGCTACAAGGAATTAATAATTGGCCCGGTCCATGAACCCAATTCAATTAATTCATAAATTAATTTCTACTCCACTAAAAGAAATTAATTGAACCCCAATTAAATAGTAAATAACCTCGAAGTCAATATTGCACTTTGAACCCTCTATGCATAATTAGTTATCGGATAAATAAAGCCATCAATCCGACTACTTAATTAATATATTTATTTTGGTATCTTTGATTATTTCTGGCTCGATCACAATAAAATATTTGTTTGACAAAAATAATAATTTAAATAAATAAATATATAATAAATTATTTTGTCTAAAAACACACGAAGGCCTTCGAATTTACTTTGTGATCAACTATAATTAATACAAAATAAATATAAGTAGTAATGATGCAAATATTAAAAATATAACCCCCTAACTATTAATTACTCAACTACCTAAAGTGTCGGTCTAAGGATCCCGAAGAATCCGCCGAATAAATCAAAGTAATGCATACGATGGCTCTCGTAATATATCTCAATCTAACGCGGATCCAGTTCAAGTCTTAATTAATTATTAGTCCATCCATAATTACCGACTATGAACTATTTATAATTACTATTTATATTCATGTATTGATCGCCATCACATACATATATAAATATCTCTTGTAATCAAGTGGACACTATCAATTCTATAATGAATCAAAACATAATATATTGAATTCACCAATTTTATAAAGCATAAATATTTCAGAAACGTCAGGAATATATGTCACTCTAATCCAAATAGGAATTTGCTATAAATCCCAACAAGTTTAGTATTGTCTTTAGTTTTAATCTGGATGCACATGCAGCGACCGACCTTGTATGGTCGCATTTTATGTTTCTATCATCTAGCATTGCATACTACAACGAATGCATGCAAATTCAAATTTAATTAAAGTAATTTTCTGTGTGACATATAGAACTTCCTGATACATACATGTAATGCCAAACAACATATGTTACAATAATATTTATAATAAACCAATAATAAGCAAACAAGGTAACTGAATAGAATTCTCAGGCTGGGTATCAACTATCAAGTTCACAAAGCAAAGGATAAAGCATCTGCAAATTCATCATGAATGTAAGCAAAGACGACAACAAAACATCCGCAAACTCATAACAAAATGAAGAATATTTCATCTGAGATTCATTGGAACACCAAAGACGAACATTTTTAAAACCGTCTCTTTCACATCATGAAGACGAACCTAACAAGCAAATAAAAGCGTAAACATCGAGGCTTATCAGACAGAATCCATAACTAAATAAGTTCCTAGTCAAATAAACAGAATCCCAAGTCTTGTTCAGTCTCTTCCTTTGGTTCTTCCTGCAATATTTTAAAAACAAAAGATAATCAGAAATGTGAAACTAACTAGCAAGATTGCGATCCAAACACTTTGGCATTAGAATCTACCTTCTTCTCCTCGACGGCAGGTGCCGCAGCGGCAGGGGCGGCAGCAGCAGCACCACCCGAACCAACATTCATGATTAGATCATTAATGCTCTTCTTGTCCACAAGCTTAGCAAACAAACTCGGCCAGGACGACTCAACTTTCACATCGGCTGCTTCCACCATAATAGCAATCTTCTCAGCCTGATTAACACCAATCACAGAAAACCCCTATATAATCTCCAAAGTATAATAATTTCAACAGCAATTTGATATAAAAAAATAAAGTCCAGCAAAAGATGTACATATAAAAAGCATATTATTAAATTTGTAAGAAAGATTATTATGCCAAACTCTACAGAAAAGGTTCATATAATAAATTTACAATCTACACAAACAAAAAAATTAATAATAATAGAATTTCAACAGAGATTTGATAAAAGCAAAGCAAAAGATATTATATACCATGATGGGAATTCCATCGTCATGAGGGCCAAACAAGCTTAAGTGCAAGCAAGCTGTCCGGCAGACCTCGAATCAGATGAAAATTTTGATATTCTGTAATCACAAACAAACGTTTCATAACACTCCCGTTGGAATATGTCGAACCTACACTCCCAATGAGAGTGAACACTATTCACTATCCTATTAGAAGTAGATGATAAATTTGAAGATGAGGCAGACAAGCGGTTGCTGGAGTGTGAACGCCAGCTAGTTGAAGTTAACCCGGCATTTAGAATAATTGGTGTCTGTTGTGGCCTCGTATGCATTGCAGATGATGTGTCCAGCAGAAGCAACAATGTTAAAATCTTAATTTACATTTATTTGCTATTTTCCACTAGATTGGTAAACATGAGCTTAATATTTCATAACCTCTACAGTAGGTGTATCACTTTCCGAATAGAAGGATTCCAAATAAAGATTTTAACATTGTTCCTTCTGCTGGGCAAATCATCTGCAATGCACACGAGGCCACCGCAGACACCAATTATTCTAAATGCCGGGTTAACTTCACACTCCAGCAACTGCTTGTTTGCCTCATCTTCAAACTTATCATCATCTTCTAATAGGTTAGTGAATAGTGTTCACTTTCATTGGGAGTGTAGGTTCGACGTATACTAACGGGAGTGTTATGGAGAGACAGTTGTTTCCTCATGAAACGTTTGTTTGTGATTACAGAATACCAAAATTTAGATAGGGAGGTACATCTGATTATAGCCTTTACTGTTAGTATGCAGAAAATGTCTTCCGGAATATAATCGATGGAGAAATTATATCGGTCTTCATCTGAAACGTGAAACCCGCATCATCACTAGTAAATTTCTTTTAAACTAAAGATAGACATGACATCAAAATAAAATTTCCAAAACTGTAAAAGGAAAATCCCCAATATTATTTATTCAAGAGTTCAAGATGAAACTAAAGTCGCATCGCTGGTAAGTATCAAACTTAAAGAAAGTAAACTAAGCATAGACCTGAAAAAACACGTACAATTTACATATACAATTACCAAAACTGTAATATAAACCCAAAACCACATGAAGATAGAAAAACGAAAATATTCGCTTTGCCGCCTTTGCGTTCTTCGCCAATTAAGTAACAACAGTAGGGTTTAAGGGCGTTATTTATTTATAAGCGCGTTTGGGAAAGGACTTAGAGATGTCTTTATCTACAAGGCAATTAACTTCGAAACCCTAACTCACAGGAAATGAATGCAACCCTATGAATCAGCCCAAAACAAGGCGAGAAACTTACAACTGGGAGTGAAGACCTTGAGTGTACGGAAGCAGATATCATAGAGAGCCTCATTATCCAGAACCATACACTCATCAGCGCTCTCAACAAGCTGATGCACAGACAGAGTAGCATTGTACGGCTCCACCACCTTATCTGACACCTTCGGCGATGGAAACACCGAGAACGTCAACATCATCCGATCTGCATATTCCTCCCTTATCTTCGATATCAACAGCGTTCCCATCCCCGAGTCCGTAACTCTCCCAGTGAATGACACACCTGAAACCCTAAATCCCAAACAAATAGTCCGAAAATTAAATTCCAAAATAAACAATCTAACATCCTTTCAGATAAAAGAAATCACACACAAGCATGTATGTATATGTGTGTGTGTTTAGCCCTAGTGTGTGTATATATATACCTTGAAGGCAATCACAGTTTTCGGCTTCTTTGAGGACGACGTCGAGGACGGAGTCGATGAGCTTGGCACCTTCGGTGTAGTAGCCGTTGGCCCAGTTGTTGCCGGCACCGGACTGGCCAAAGACGAAGTTGTCGGGGCGGAAGATCTGCCCGTACGGTCCGGATCGGACGCTGTCCATGGTGCCGGGTTCGAGGCCCATGAGAACGGCCCGAGGGACGTATCGTCCACAACTGGCCTCGTTGTAGTTCACGTTCACTCTCTCCAGTTGGAGATCCAAGTCTCCCTGGTATCTTCCCGTATAATCGATCCCGTGCTCTGCGGACACCACCTCCCAGAACTTGGCCCCGATTTGGTTGCCGCATTGGACACCTTGGATGTGGAGTATCTCACGCATTTTCGATTGATTTGTAGAGAGAAAAACTAGAGAGTTGCAGAAGGGAGTAGAGATTCAAAAAAAAGGACGACGAAGAGAAGGTTACAGTGAAATGGGGGGAAATGAGATACGGAGTATTTATTATAGGGATTTTTACGTATAAATGTATTTACAGTATGTAGTTAAAGTACCATAGTTTCAAAAAAATATGTAATTGACCAAATTAATGACATGGACATGAATTTTTACTGTTCATTATATTTTGTTGTTCAAAATGACCCTTCACTTTTTGAACCAAATTACCCTACTGCCCCTGTTTCTTTTCAGGCACTAATACCCTTCACAGTTCACCATCTCTCTCCCGAGAACGAACAAACTAAACCACCACCGTCGACGTATAAACACCAAAAATAATAAGGTCTTTTTTAAGCTGCTCTGTTTTCTATTTCTTTCAAAAAAAATAACCTGAGGACACATCTCGGCCGCCTGTTCATTCCCATCATGGCGGTGATGGGAATGAACACCACCACCACACAGTCAACGATGATACAGAGCCTCACCTATTTCTTATCGGAGCACCCATCCATCGTCAACTTCCATTGGAGCCACTCCCAATCACGGGGCTCCACGTGGTCCTTCCTCTTCACTTCTATCTCCCTCCATATCATCCTTTCCCTCCTCCACCTCTTCCTCATCCTCCGCCGCACCCGACCCGTTCCCCTCGGACCCGTCCCGGCTCTCTACAGCCTCTCCATGGCCATCATCTCCGCCACAACCTTCGCCGACATCCTCCTCTCCGCCGCTGCCGAGATCCGCGGCACCCGGTGGTTTTGGCGCCTCTCCAAGACCTCTTTCCAATGGCTCCTCTGCTTCCCTCTCGGCACCTGCTCCTCAGGTCGGGTCTTCTTCTGGTCTTACATTTTCTACCTTTCCCGGTTCCTCCACACTTTCTGGACCCACTTCACCGTCCTCCGGCGACGGAAACTCTCCTTCTAATTCTTCAGTTAAGCAATTCAGATTTTCATGACCTTTCTCTGGCTCGAATTCTCTCAATCGTTTCAAATTCTGGCGATTCTGGTCACGAGCTCGGTCTATTCGGTGGTTTACGGGTACAGATTCTGGGTGGCGATTGGATTGCTGAACGGAGAGCTTACCGATGGTGGTGGAATTTAGTGATTGGGTATTGGAGTAAATCGGCTATGTTTGATGTGTATTTTTGCTGCTGCAATTAAGGTATATTTTGTGCCGGAAAAGAAATAAGGGGCAATAGGGTTATTTGATTCAAAAAGTGAAAAGGTCATTTTGGGTAACAAATTATTGTGAACAGTGAAAGTTCATGTCCACATCATTAATTGGGTCAACTACATTTTTTTGAAACTATGGTACTTTGACTACATAATACTGTAAATATAGCCCCATAAATACATTTATACGTAAAAATCCCTTTATTATATTAGATGGATGGGTAAAAATTGGGGTTAACGGTTTCCGTTAGCTATTCGATTTAGGGCTGATTTAACGGCAATAGTTCTAACGGGACGTTTTGTTTTAGGTCGGAAATTGAATTTTGAAATGAAAATTTGCTTAAGTGGTGTGCAGATGACCTAATATAACTGGGCGTGTGTACGTGTCAAATAATAGTTGGGAAACATTAATTTAGAAAAGTCAACAAATTTAAATATTTTGGGATTTTTTTATACAATTTTACGATTTTTTTTTTTGGATAGACAAGTAACACAACTTACGTAGGCCCGCAATTTTTACAAACTCTCTTAGGCTATGTTTGGTAGAAAAAAAGGGATCAATCTTTGGCGGTGAAGATGTCTTTCTCAACCATGAAGAATTCTACTCCAGTCATGCTTGGCTAAACGCTTTGCTAGGGTTGTGATGTAGCCTTAGCTTAACACTACTGGTTTGATTGTATTTATTTATTGGAGAACAATTATTATCATGCATGATTGTGTAATTTATTGGATTTTTAATTGACATTTCAATAAGAATCGGTTTTAACGTTTTAATTCAATTACAAATATTTTTCTATCTTGTCTTAAATTTTTGAATCTTGTGGTTGAACACAACTCATTCACTTCTTGCAGTTGTGAATGAGATGATTACACAATGATTTTTCTCTGAATATAATGTTAGAGATTTGATGGATTATGCCTAGAAAAGATAAACCATACTACACCCTAGAGTAAAGTAGTTAGGTAGATGGTTTATGCCAATCGAAGATAGTTCATGCTTAGCTTTAAATTATATTATCTTCTAACTGAATTAATATGTGTTTGTAGTCATGATTAATTCCCTATGCATGTTATATGTTATATCTCCAATAGATTGATACAATTGACAAGTGGTGTGATGTTAGTGGTGAAATCATTCCCCTAATTCTTTCTCTATTTTCTTCATCCTATTTAATTATTGTTCTCATTTTATTTTTTTACTTAGTTAATTTAGAATAAATCATCACAATTTGATTATCCTACTTTCAAGTTAATTTGAAATTTAATAAATCTGTTGACAAACTTAATTTATACAAGTTCATTGGGTACAACACTCTTACAAGTAAGTCATATCTACAAAAATTCGTGCACTTGCAACTGTTACATATAAATCTCACAACAAAGATTTATCTTCAACTTGAATTTAGGGTTTGAATAGGTACCGGTGGCGGACGAGGAAGAGTTTTTTGTAAGACTTTTTGTGAAATGTGAATAATGTAAATACATATTTGTGGGTATGGACCGCGCCTCATATAACGTCTAGCCGTTTGAGCACCGCGAAGCTCCGCTTAGGAACGGGACCCACTATCCTTTAAATGATTTTGGCCAATTATTAATTTTGTGTATATTACAGTAATTATATATATACAGTATTAAATTAAATTGTTTTTTTGGGACAGAGATTACGGATTTAAAATTTACTGTAAAAAACTTCTTTGCTGACTTTGTGATTATGAAGATCACGTGCAATAGACTAGACTTTTACGGTCACACAAATATTGCGCATTAATGACTTATCTTGTAATTTTGAAATCGAAATTCTAATTTTGTAATCTACTGTTGATCTCAGAGAAATAGAAAATGGGAGCATTCATTCAAAGTGTGATTTGTAAAAGATTTTAATTTCAAGTTTTGTGGGATGCCAAAGAGTTACATCACTCGGCTTGGCGTAATGGGTTTGAAAAGGAAACAACTAGCCACATGTGCATGGTCACTTCTTTTATGTAGCACATAAATCAGGTTTCAAGGACAAAAGTGAAACATTTTCATTCATGGCACACAATTGACTCATATAATCCCTTAAATTCCTAGGTTAACTATAATATTGTGCAACTTTTTTCATCTTAGGCTCTGGCTGTTTGAATAAAATATATATATATATATTTGGTTGCGATAAAATATTTATAAAGAAAAAAAAAATATTTATACTCAACAGAAATAACTTAAATCTTTAATTCTCAGTAAATTATTTTACACTCCCCACCACCCTATATACATGACCTATCTTTGTCAAACATTGAAGTCCGGAGTGATTAGAAGGGAAAGGCAAATAAAAAGTACTAAAAGTTGCTAAAATGAGTAATGTGTGTCCAAGAGGTCTGGGCATCAACTAAGAATTGCTCAATTATACCAAAAAAAAAAAATAATAATAAAATCACACACCACGAGGTCTCCTCCTGCATTCCCATCTTCATTGAGCAACTATTAATTAACTACCATAAAAGCAATAGTTTTCACAAGCTTCTATTGTTTTAATAAGCAAACCAACGTGATGAGACTAGAATGAAATCAGTTGATTGAGTAATAATGGATGCCTAATTTCAATGAGACCAACAGATGGCTATTAGATGCTGAATGTTACACATTTTAGTCCATTTACTTGCATATTTTATTCTCTTAACTGTAATTTATTTGTGATTTTACATTGTTTTATTATTTTTATTTATTTCAAAGCTTTAATTATAAAATCAATCAAGGCCAGTGATTTCGAGCTTTAACATATGACATTGGAACCGAGCAATGATAAAGATCCAAGTTTAATTAGACTTAAAAAAGAGTACAAGAGAAGCCACAAAGTTGATGAGAATGGAAAGAAAAAGAAAAGGAAGAATTCTTCTACAATTAGGAAACTTTCTCCAAAATTGGTAACTTGAACCCATTTTGATAATCTGTCTTTATCTCTTTCCTTGAGTGTTAAAATAGCTAAATTCTCACAATAATTGCAAGGAAATTGGAAGAGCTACAATTTTGTATTTCATAAGGATTTCATAAAATAGCTGTTTACCTTGTCAAAACTGGAATGGAAATATGTACGAATTTTGGAATCCTTGTTTGGCAGATTTTCCATATATGTCTTCTATGTGAAAAAAAGAATTTTTGGGCTGATCTTCTCTTATTTAAAAGGAGTTCTCTACATCATTAGAGCATGATATAAAGGAGCTTGAGGCTGAGATTAGAGTAGAAGCATTCAGAAGAAAGAATGGATCAAAACATAGCGGTGAAGATGTCTTCCTCAACCATGAAAAATTCCACTCCAGTCATGTTTGGCTAAACGCTTTGCTAGGGTTGTGATGTAACCCTAACTTAGCACCACTGGTTTGATTATATTTATTTATTGGAAAACAATTATAATCATGCATGATTGTATAATTTATAGGACTTTTAATTGACTTTCCAATAAGAATCGGTTTTAAAGTTTTAATTCAATTACAAATATTTTTCTATCTTGTCTTAAATATCTGAATCTTGTGATTGAACACAACTCATTCATTTCTTGTAGTTGTGAATGAGATGATTATACAATGATTTTTCTCTTAATATAATGTTAGAGATTTGATAGATTATGCCTAAAAAAGATAGACCATACTACACCCTAGAATAAAATAGTTAAGTAGATGGTTTATGCCAATCGAAGATAGTCTATACTTAGCTTTAAATTATATTATCTTCTAACTGAATCAATATGTGCTTGTAATCATGATTAATTTCCTATGCATATTATATGTTATATTTTCAATAAATTAATACAATTGATTGGTGGTGCAAAGTTAGTGGTGAAGTTATGCCTCTAGTGCTCTCTCTATTTTCTTCATCCTATTTAATTATTGTTCTCATTTTATTTTTCTACTTAGTTAATTTAGAATAAATCATCACAATTTGATTATCCTACTTTTAAGTTAATTTGGAATTTAATAAATCTGTTGACAAACTTAATTTACACAAGTCCATTGGGTACAACACTCTTACAAGTAAGCCATATCTATAAAGATTCGTGCACTTGCGAGTGGTACATATAAATCTCACAACAAGTTCTACAATTAATTTCAATTAGGATCTTAGTTTAGGATTTCATGTGTACCACTCATAAGAAGTTCATGTGTACCACTCACAAAAACTTCTTGTGAGATTTATGTGTACCACTCGTAAGTACACAAATCTTTATAGATATGGCTTACTTGTAAGAGTATATATATATATACGAATATATTTGTTAGTGAAGATAATGTAAGCTATATACAATATTTATCCTTAATACATTATTGTCAATGTAAAACAATATTGATCCTTAGTAAACAACTCAGATTGAAGAAAAGAATTGCTCCAAAAATCTTGATGCAAGATGAAAATTTAATCCATTTATTAAATTTGCAAAGACGTACATCTGTACTTTACATATTTGTTAGTATACTTTTTTCATTTTTTCAAATTAACAATTTGCAAAGACATATATGTGGCTCTTCTAGATTTGCCACTTTTCATTGTCGATGACTATATGATCTTTGACCACTGCCATTTTCAATCTTAATATATGTTTTTTCTTCAATTTTTTTCTTGCAAGACTTTGTTTGTCAAAAACAGGAAGAGATCGTTGATAGCTTCTTTCAATATGATATTGGCGCTTGAGACACAAGTACAACATATCAGTGGCAGGTCTCTTTACGAAAAATCAATGATGTCATCACCGTCCACTTCATCTTCTAACACTTCTATAATATACTAGTAAAAACGTATTGTGCTATTACGTAAGTAATAGTCAATATAAAAAAAATTATATTCAATATAAATATAAATATAAAGATAAATTTAATCATTATAAAAGATAAACTTAGAATTAAAAACGTAAATAATTACTATTATGTTTTGATTGTTTTATTGTCAGACAATAGTCTCATACCAAAAAAAAAAATTCATGTCTCACATGGAATTTAATTTAAGATTAAAACATTTTAGACTACAAATAAGTTAAATTTTTGATAAACAACTCGAGTTTAAGTCGTTAAAAATTTGGTTCATGTTCAATTAGTTGATTAGTGGACTGAGCCCAAATTAAAAAATATGTGTGTGAACCAATCTCAAATACTCCTCTACTTGATTATTTAATTTGTGAACATGTTGGTAAACGAGGTCTTTAATCATTGAGCTCGTAATTTTGTATGTGTGTGTAAAATTTATATATATATATATATATATATATATACACACACACACACACTCTGTATACTTGATTATTTAATTTGTGAACATGTTGGTAAATGAGGTCTTTAATCAATGAGCTCGTAATTTTGTATGTGTGTGTAAAATATATATATATATATATATATATATATATATATATATACACTCTGTATATGCGTAATTTCAGGCGCAATTCTTTAGTTTTAACTTATAAATCAAGTCTTTAACTAAAAAAAAAACTTAAAAATCAAGCCCAGCCAATCCAATCCAATCCATTTAAATAAAAGACCAGGCCGGACTTTATATTTTCAACTTAAAACTCAAGCCCATCCAGTCCAATCCATTTAAATATAAGACCAGCCATCTTTAAAAAACAAACAAAAAGTATGGGTAACTCGGAGAACCCTAGGACCATGTATATATTACACTGACCTTGAGGTTTCATCAACTGAACTCCCTTCTTAGTTTTTTATATTACAACGACCTCCCTAGCCAGAGCTCTTGGATGGATGGGATTAACAGTTCTATCAAAATTACTTTTCTACCTTTATTATATCTATATTATATTTTATTGCAAATACAATAAATTTTGAAAAGATAAAAAGGCCCAAAGTGTTTCTTTACACTCTTTCCTCTATCTAACCTTTTGCAAACCCATTTTTGGGACAAGAAGAGAGACCCATTTCAGTTTGAGAGAGGATGACGGTGGTGAAGCTACAGGTTGTGGTGGTGCCGTGGTGCAATCCTTGCCTTCGCTGTTGCTTCGCCGGAGTTTCCCTTCGTTGTTGCTTCGCCTGTAGTTCCTAAAATATTTGACCCTTTTTTATTTCTTTAACTTTTTAATTAATTTATTCATTTCAATGACTTAACTTTTGGTTTCAACTTTCATTTTCTTTGATTTTCCTATTCTGGCGACACCAAATTTCTTTCTATCCTTTTCACATTTGCATCATCAATTGCATTCTCTGAAATATACTTAGAGATAGAAATATTTGGATAGGGAGAGATAATGAGCAAGGATGGCTGAAGAGAATAGCTTCTCGGTGGTTGGGCGGGCGGGCGGTGCACTAAACTTATCGGCAATGACGTGGTGGTGTTGGTGACCCGATCCAGCGACGGTAATTGTGAACAACTTTGGGTCTTGGGTTGGCTTGATGGTAGATTTTTCAGGGATTAGTATGTTGGTGGTGATGGCGATGGAGGGATGACAGTGGTGTCTGGGTTGGGGCTGTGTCAACGTGGTGGTGCCTTGGACTTGTCTCCGTCAACCACACCACCATCATTAGGCAACCATGACGCCGGCAACAAAAACCTTTATTTATTTATTTTTTTTGGAAAAGGAAACAGAATTAAACATGAGAAAATTGAGAAAAAAAAAAAAAAAAAAACATTTTGGATTTGAATTTTGAGTTTTATTGTAGTATTTTAGGCATTTTAATTACTTTATTTACATGTCTCAAGGGTAGAATGGGAATTTACAAATTAAAAATACTGATATTGTTTGACAAACAAGAGGTAGGTTGAAACTTCAGAGGTCATTGTAATTATCCATGTATATTAATGTCTCAAGGGTAGAATGGAAATTTACAAATTAAAAATACTGATATTATTTGACAAACAAGAGGTAGGTTGAAACTTCAGAGGTCATTGTAATTATCCATATATATTAATATATATCCTTTGACCAATTTCTCTCTGTCTCTAACTCGGAACCCTAGCGCCATTTCTCATCTTTTCCATTCCCAACCAGATACACACACACACACACACACACACACACACATACACATACACGCCTCCTTCACTCCTCTGCAAAACCTCAGGCTCCTCTCTTTCTCTGTCGGTGGCGATTTGTTTCAGAAAAGTAGAGGTGATAATCATAAGAAGCAGGGCCTAATTGACTGCCGATTTCATCTGTGTTGGTAAGATGATGAAGGCGGCAGAAATTAAAAGAAGAAATTAGGAGCCATGCGAAGCCATGCCTAGAACGCCATACCTTACCCAACATCTTCTTGTTGAAATACTCTCCAAACTGCCGGTGAAGGCTCTGTTACGATTCAAATGCGTGTCAAAGCGATGGCGCTCTCTGATCTCTGATCCCCACTTCATCAAAGCCCACCTCAATCAATCACTCACCAACATCCAAACACAGCGGATACTAGTAGCCACTCCCTTCTTCCCTCTTCGTGTCTTTACGGTAAGCTTCGGGTCATCAGATAATGACGACATTGATGTTACAGTATCAAAGATTGATTTTTTATTTAAGAACATTATTAATCCTAATCCTAGGTGGGAAATCATTGGTTCCTGTCATGGGTTGATATGCACGGTGAACGAGTTTGGATTGATATGTGTATTCAATCCGTCGACGAGGGAGTCCAAGCAGATACGGGATTGCGGGGATGATGATGATCATCCCCGCGGTGGCGTGGTTGGATTTGTGTATGACCATTGTTCTGATGATTACAAACTGCTGAAAATGAGCCGCGGCAATGGCATGTATGCATATTCCCTGAGAAATTGTTCTTGTTGGAGAAAAGTTCATGACTTTACTAAGTATAGTGTTATATCGAAGGGGACGCAGCTGAATGGAGCCATTCATTGGGTTTGTTTGGAGGGTGGTTCAGACAAGCCGCCAGAGATTGCTGTTTTTCGTTTGGAGGATGAGAAACTTTGGACCATTCCTTTGCCTGCTGCGGCTTCCTTCACCAGATTTAATGATGCAGTGGGACTAGGGGTGTTTGATGGATGCCTTTGTATGGTAGCATGTGGTGGTGATAATGCATTCTGGGCTATGAAGGAATATGGGGTGAACCAATCTTGGGCTAAACTCGACATTAAACTTCCATATTATTTCCATATCTTACCGCCATTGACTACCTTGAGGAGGAGGAATGATGAAGAAGAAGCTATGTGTTTGATAAACTTCGACTTGTTAGTTTTATACAACACAAGTGAGGGAACTTCTAGGGACCTTGTCGTAGTTGACGATGCCCCGTTTGTTAATGTTAATGCAATCACCTATGTAGATACTCTCCTATCACCGCTCATGAACCATGGCATCCTAACATAGCAGTTATTTATGTGTCTCTGGAATGAATGAAAGTTTTTATCACCCATGATGGCATTTTACTCCTTCAAAGTGCATTCCTTTTTTTTTGGCTGTGTGTGTGGGGGGGTTCTAACCTGTTCCACCTCTTTTCCTTTACGGTGATATCAATTTTTACCACTTAAACCATTGCTCACTCTGTATCCTTTCTGCACAGTACCATTAGAACTTTAGCAAGAGTTTCTAGCATCTGCCCTTTTTACCGTGTTTGAAATGACAAAATTTCTCCCTCTGCGCGTAACAGCTAGAAATATAAACACCCCTAGTTTGAGGTTTTACCTTTTACACCAACCTCTGCAATCAAGTTTAAGGCATTCACACGTTCAATCCCAAGTACACTAACATACAACCCGGTGAAAACAGAACCATTAGTTTCAAATTTCCTAATCACATGGTCCAATCATGACGGTTGGCAACCTTATTTTAAAAAACTTAGATTTGGACCAAGATTGGCAACCTTATTTAAAAAAACTTAGATTTGGACCAAGATGTGCAGTATCACTGAACTTTGTAATTGACAAGAAGAAGTCAATAAACTTAATTACTGAAGAACTATAATGTACACCAAGCTTACTTGCCTAATTATGAACAATGTATGACCTCCATCATACTGTTGTTGATATTCTGCCCAATCCTCAACTACAGGTAATGCAGATGGTTTGACTTTATTTTCTTGGATAATAACTTCGCCATGACAAAATGCTGCAACTGGAGGAACTTCGAAATGCTGCATACCCCAAAATGTGATAGAATTTTTTTTTTCAAATCTTAAATTATCCATTTCTCTCAAAGGGCACTTGTTGCAAAATTCTTATATTTCTGAAATTTCTATTTTATAAGCTTTCTGTGCATATATTATTTACAATTTGTGAGATATGTTTTTTAATAATTTGGATGAATTAAGATTTAAATAAAATAGTAATAAGAACATTTTTGTGCAAACATTCATTTTTTTACCCCCATTCCAATAGTTGGAGGGATTTTTTGGTAAAAAATTAGATAAAGAGAGTTGATTAGAAAAGTCCCAAGGAGAGTTAATTGTACTTTGCCTTCTTAATTTGATTAACGTCCTCCTCAATTTGTGTAGTTGCATTTGTAGGGTTTGATTTTCAGCTAACCGACTACGTATATTTTTGTATGAGTTATATAACTATACATTGATTGCATCTGTGCATGTATTCTTACCATTTTTTCTTTCTTAAATATGTGTTACATGATTGAACTGATGGTAAATCTGTTTACGTGGACTGGTCCACAATCAAACTGCGATTTTTCATTAGTTTGTTTTCTTTTTTATATCTCTCCACGCACACATATACTAATAATATGCCTGCATATGCAATTTTGCTTTTATTCTTTTGCCTTGGTCTTTTAAAAAGTACCATGGGTGATTAAATGTTTTTCTTACTTTGTCTATGTAGGTAGATATACCCATAATATTTTGCACGAGTTTTGGTGATCTATGATTCACTATCCGTTGTATTAATATAATAAAAATTACACAAAGAATAAATTTGTCATAAAATTGTTTGAAAATTATATACTTCAACTTATATTTAAAATATAACTAATCTTATATTAATATGTCATAAGATAATTATTAATATATTACAAGATAATTAATTAAATATTTAACTCAATATTTAATTAAACAGATAAATTAAAATAATAAAATAATAATAATAAATAAAAAACTTGGACTGATATGAATATTATTAAATATTATATTCTTAAGGCAATTTAAGCCTTACATGTTGCTGACGGACTCTGTGTCCTTATCTCCCAGTATTGGACCAAGGCTAGTATAGGAATGTTTATACCAACGCTCTCTTTAAAAGCGCTGGTAAGTGCGAAATTTAGTGGGGAAAAAGTTGCCGCCCTAATATTATTTCACTTTTTTATTTCCTTAATTTACCATTTATTTCTATCTTTACCAATCTCACTCATCCGAGCCCTAGGTTTCTTTCAGCCTCCGCATTCGCCTCTATCTCTATTCTCGGTCTCAACTCTGAACTTCCTCCCCTCCCCCTCCTCTCTCTCTGCAACTCCCCAATCGCCTCTATCTCTATGTTCGTTCTCAACATCTCTATTCTCGTTCTTAATTCTGAACTTGCCCCCCCCCCCCCCCCCTCTCTCTCTCTGCAACTCCCGAATCGCCTCCATCTCTATTCTCGGTCTCAACTCTGTAGCCGATTCGAAGTTGGTCTGCGTTGCGAGTGAAGCTCTTCCACTTCTCCAACGAGTCACTGGTGAAATCGCCAGTCAGGTACATCTCTTGGTCTTGTCCTTCGCCCCTATCATCGTCATTAGGCCTGATCACGGTTCAGATCGGTTCGGTTTGGGGATAAAGATCAAGCCGAACCGGTCCCCACGGATTGGTAAAAATTGAAACGGAACCGATCCGTGAGGGCCTTCAATCCGAACCAAACCGATCCGTGAAGTAATGAAAATATCTTTCATCTGGTGGAATGAATTGCAATCCATCTTTTTCGCTTTAATGGTTGCCACATTTTAGTTGTGAATGTATAAGATTGCTAGTAATTCATTGAATTTTCTTGTGCTGAAATTGGGAAAATTTAAAATAAAAATTATATAGATTTATCTTTCTTTTATATAGTATCATGAATAATTCTATGTAATTCCGAATGAGTGTCGTCCTTAAATACGTAACAACTTTACTAAGCAGCTATAGGTTTTATATTTTTTTTCCCCATCAACTCTTGTATCTCTTTGTATATCTTTCCATCCTCCATCCTTCATTCAGGTACGTGACTCTCCTATATCAACCATTGCAGTCACCATCGTTTTCTTCTTCTTGATTGCTTCCCTTAACATTCAATTTTTTGTTTACCCAATTGTTTGTAGAATTAAAAGTTTTGTGTGTGTGTGTGTGTGTGTGTGTGTGTGTGAATGTGTATGTAAGTTCTGTTTCTTTGATTCTATATTGAATTCAAATAGTTCTGTGTAAATTAAAATTGTATTCCATTTTATTCTTTTTCAGTATTTCAGATCGGATTGATTTGACTGGAGTTGGTCATTTATTTAAAATTAACTTTGTTGACTGTGTATTTAGCCCTTTTACACGAATTTATGCCTTCCTGATTTTTATTTTTATGGTTATTTATTTATTTTTTGCGCGCGCGCGCCTATGTGGTTTGCCTGTGTACAGTGTATTATTGATAAAATGCCACAAAAGTTCCGCTGGACCAAGTCCACACCAATGTTTACCACGGGTCAACTGAGCCTTTTTTTTTTTTTTGGAGACATCAATGCAAAATAAAATGATTATTGATCGTCTGTTAATATAAAGATGGAGTTATATACATCTCTGTCTTTTAGTTTCTACTCTATAAATAGAAAATAATTATTTGTGTAGTCTAGTGACTCTAGTCGTTGCCTAGTTTGGCAATAAATGCTTGAACATCGTGACATTGGCGTGAGTTTGAGTCTTAGAGCAACCATTTTGTGAAATAGCAAAGTTGTGTCTTGTGTCCTTCCTCCTCAGGTGCCTGCTGTAACTCTGTTTCTTTGAGAGTTTATTTATTTATTTATTTTTGTTGTCATAATTCCTTTTAGAAACATAATATAAATTTTGGGTTGGGAGATGTTTTATATCATCTATGAATTATGAAACATCATAGAAATTTAAAGAACAAATTCAGAAAATTAAAATGGAACAGAAAAAAACCAAGTTAACAATCCATCAGGCTTGTTTCTTTGGTAATTTAATGAATGGTGTCAAGTTGTAGCTATTATTTTCCATAAACTAAGAACTTAGAAACCAATCAATATTATTCATGAATCATCCTGGATGTTGTCAATAACTGAAGCATTCTGTTCAAGTTATTCTAAGCCCATTGGCATAACAATACATGTACCTATTTGAATTCTTTTCTTTGCATTCACATTTCCTTTTGAAGGATTTTTGCTAGTCGCATTATTTTTAGATTTCTAGTACAGATCTTTACCATCTATTTCAGTTGAGCACCTCTCAGCAAGGAAATTGTCAGCCAAAAAATCGAGTATATGGTAATATAAAAGCCACTCATAAATAACCATGTATGAGCTCAGATTCCTCTACATTGATTGCTGTGATGGTCGGTAGTTTAGATAATTTGGAAAGAGCCACATTAAGAAGGCATCATTTCATATAGTCGTACAGTCCTCGTGATAGATAGATAAGATCTGCAAGTGTATCATAGTTCTTTTAGTGATGGGAAATTGGGCCAATGAAAATAGACTTACTTTCCCTTGTTTTGGTTTTGTTAAGGTTTTAATTGTGTTACTAATCCATGAAGTGTCTTGTCTATACGTTCAACTTGTTATTATGCTGCTTTATATAAATAAATGGTAAGAGTTTAGCTGAACAATAAATCCTTTTAATTTTGTTTAAATTTGTTTTACTTTCAACTTGTTCTTACTTCTGTAAGGGTTTCTTTTTTTAAATTATTTTATTTTCTTATATTTTATAAAGAAACGATACGATGGGAATATGCAAGAACTTGGTTCTGCATGGTTTAACAATGTTAAGATCATTTGGGGACAAAAGAAATTACCAGATGTACATGGTATTATAATGCGTATTAACTTAAATTTTTATTTATTTATTTTGTAATCGAATTAAACTTTGAAGAAAAGGAAGAATAGCCTGCGGAGGTAACCTTGATATATGTTCATTTATGATGTGAAGCTTTTACCCAAAAACTGACTCTCTTAGCAATGCTTTAAGTTAGTATTATTTGATGTGAGTCATGTAAGAGTATGATAATATGCAGGATTTTAGGCTATTCTAAATAACGTGTACTTTTCTTGAGGATGTTTTGTACACTTTTGGTTCTTTGGTGCAAGCAGCTTCTATTAATCTCAGTATATCTTTAGAATTGATTGCCTTTTCTCTAGAAAAAAGATATTTTTTTTACAAACTTTTTTGTTTCATTTGTACCTGCAGCTTCCTTTAATCTCAATATTCTACCGGTACCTGTGATAATGGGTGGGCTGCCAACACAGAACCCTTCTTCCGCCATAACCTTGTCAGTGTCGCAGAAGAACGAAGGATTAACCATGACAGCATCTGGGTCAAATTCAAAGCCAAAGAAGAAGATCTGTTGTGCTTGCCCTGACACCAAGAAGCTGAGGGATGAATGCGTAGTGGAACATGGCGAAGCTGCATGCTCAAAATGGATTGATGCTCACCTTAAATGCCTTCGTTCCGAAGGCTTCAATGTTTGAAATTGATGAAGATAACCAAATTGATAAAATGGAAGATGAAACTATTTTGTAGAACCTGTTTATTTCAGGATTATACATACACTAGATGATCTCTTTCTCGTTGAAAATTCACGAATAAATTATGGAAAGCTTCTGACTGTTGCACACGAATTATATTATATGTTCATTTACTTGTTTATGATTATACATGCACTAGATGAGATCTGTCTCATTGAAAGTTCAGGAATAAATTATGGAAAGCTTCTCTTGGCTCTTACAGGTGAATTATATTGTGGGACTGCTTTTTCAGACTGGACTATTTATCTCTTTCTTATATAAACAACCTGGCCAAATACATTAATGAGTTCAGATGAAAAACCTTCTATAAGTTTCAAGGGTAATTGCTGTATTATATCATTATCATCAGCAACAACAACAATCTGTGGATGTTTCTATATATATATATATATATGCTAGCTTTTGGTGATGGAATGAGCAGAGCGTGGCGTTGTTTCAAATCTTTATGAAACCGTAACGGAGTTCAGAAATTGCTTCCTGGCTACTGGGGGTTGATACTTATTTTGTATTTGATTGATTGCAAGGTTTAGTGAAAATTGTTATTCGCTATTTTTTTTTTTTTTTCCTCTTTTTGCAAGTATTATGATTCTGTATTCATTTGCAATAACTATAGTCATCTAATCAAAACCACTTCCATTATTTGCTGGTGTACCTGGTTTTAAAATTTGAATGAGGTGTGAAATGTGAAAGTACATAGCTATATATATGTGTGTGTGTAATATATGTAGGACACACATACACGGTCGACATTCATATTTCACCCAACAATCACCAGGACAAAGCATTAATACAGGGACGCACAAAGTTATTATTCACTACAATTTTACTTATATAACAGAGCCACACAAGTGAACTCTAATCACATTGCTTTTCAGTGCTCACTGACCGCATGTGCAATTCACACAAGAGCAGCTGGCACCACACTTGCATTTGCCATTGTGCTCGGCTGCTGGAAACTCCATCACCAGAGTCTTGACGTAGCTGCAAGAATAGAACTTCCATGATCATTGTCGTTGCTTATTAGGGCTGCTCTTGGTTATGGAGTCATAAATTTTGCGTACATTCTATTGTTGTGTGCTTTCTTTTGTCTGATATATTATTAAAGAGAACAATGAACACACAAGATTTTGGATGAAGTGGAGATGATTTTGGTCTTATTCCAAACCTCCCTAGTATGAGGTGGAGATGATTTTGGTTCATAATTTTTTTACATTTGTACTAGTCCCCAGTGAACACACAAAAGATTTTGGATTCTACGAGAAAATGATATTTGAACTTCACAAAATAACACTCACATTTCAATTACTTCTATAAAGGAAAAAAAAAAAATGATACAATTATCACTTGAAAACATTCATTTTGTTAAATTGTCCCAAAAAAATATTCTTATTAAAAAGAACAGGTTGAATTGTTGTTGTGTTAATATTTTACGGGCATGAATGATACGTTCCAAGATTGTTATACGTACAAAGGCACAAATGCCGCCATCCAAATGTTAAGCCACCTACTTAATGATAAAATATCAACACCAACAGTTCAGAAAATTTGCATGAATAGCATCAATTCTCTCTATTCACTTTATTCCTTCAATATTTATTTTTCATTTAAAAAAATATATATAGATTGTAAAATTCTTATTCCTTATTCGGATTATAAGGAGCAAACAAAAGTCTCCCTTGGGGATTGTACGGGCAATTGCTTCTCCGTATGGCCAACCGGCCCAACCTTGAAGTCAGCTTGACGAAAATAGCCATACGTTCCACATTTCCATCTTTTTATCTTCTATAAAGCAACTAAATCATGCTTATCAATCTTCATTTTCGCTCCATTTTCTTTTCTAGAAATGTCATAACCAAGACTTTGTTCCGTTACACAAATATAAGACCTTTATCAGCACACAGTTAATGTGACGACTCAACTTGAACGCTGCGGCAACAGAAAAAGACCTATAATAAAGCCAACCGGGAGAAGGAAGCGGGTTTGAGGTTCCATACTTCCAATTCCGAATCCAACTCACGGAAATGAATGAAAGAATTTTTTATTTCAACTGCACCCCAGGGAAATTAATGGCAGGCCAAGGCTCGATCTGGAAACTCCAAAAATAACTCAAGCCAATATAAAGCTCAGGTTCATGTATTGAAATCATTTCATTGGTTTGTTGGCAGCAAGTGCTTCAGCATTCCAAGCTGAGCTAAATCTAATTACAACCCACAATGAAAGAAATTACAAGTTACGTAACAAAGATGAAAATGTTGGATTTAATCAATCATCTCGAAGTCCAAGAGTAACAAATACACACACCATATCCGGCATATTTGTAACTACAAAATTCAGGTTGCGCTCTCAGTAGATGGAATAGTACGGACCAAAAGAAAAAGAAGAATAAAAAGAATACGTACATAAAGCAAATATGCAAAACTGTGGTCTGTATAAACCTTGAGGAGATGTGATCTGAAGTGCACTCCCACGTTAATATCGGACTATGTCCTGAAGGCAATCATAGAAATGAGCAATTTTGATCTTTTCTTTACCAGAGTAGATGGCTTCTGCTCCCCCACCTTCTTCTCCTTGGGCAGCCATTTCAACTACCATATAGAGCTTCTTGATTGGCATCTATAATAACACACCAAATGATAAGAGTGACAAACTGATCGCCTCTGTGTTTCACTAAACTAGCCGATGCACTTTTTATTAGTTGTAACGACTGTTCTTGGTTTTGCATTGCGAATAAAATGAATAATAAGGAAATGAAAAAGAAAAAAGAAAAAAATGACAAACAGGAATAGATGATTTTGAGGGGAGAGAGAGTAGGACTCATTTAAGCTTACATCATTCAGAGCCTCAGCAGCAGCATCAGTATCACCATCAGAGAAAACATTAATCTGTTGTAATACCTATAGGGGAAAAAGGACAAAAATCATGACTCGAGAAGAAGACATCAATCTATGGCATGTCATTTTCCATTTTATTAATTACTTACAGCAGAAAAAGAACATAAGACAAAGAAGTTACTATATTCGAGTAAATTAAATGGTCCTAAGAAAATAAAAATATCATCTGCCCCGGCAGGAAGTATCCTAAAATTCACCGTTCATCCCCACCAAAAAAATTAAACAAGTAAATAATATATAGGGCTAAAAATATTAAATAAAAAATAAAATAAATAAATAAAAACCCTCTTGTTTCCAAACCCCCCACCACCTCAATTATCGAACAACTCTCTGAACTAGCAAAAACTATCACGTTGCCCCCTTTCCGTGATGGAACCGTTAACTTGTTGCGAAATGACAATAATGCCCTTGATAGTATATTAATAATTTATTAAACTAAAATTATAGTGTGAGAAGGGCAATTTCGTCATTATGAATTACAAGGTTATTTTGGTTAGAAAATGATGCAACTGTCACACGTGATTTTCATGTGATACGATCCCATTAGTTTTAGACGGGAAACTGGGGAGGGGGTGATATGATAGATTTTTAGAACATCAAGGGGCAATTTGATAGTTTCTTTAGTTGAGGGGGTCAGTTGATAGTTTTTGAAAACAAGAAGGGGGTTTTATGATTTTAGCCTAATACATATTAGATAATAGCTGTGCTTCTTCAGAAGGGAAAACATAAAAATTCTTTACTTTTTCTTTTTTTGTCAATTGGCATACCCAAAAAGAATATGAAACACAAAGATAAGGGTAAAATTTCTCTACTTCATGCCCATCTTTAAATAGAACATTTAACATCAATTCTGAATAGAATGAAATGACAAAACAGGTTCATTAACATAACATTAAAAAAAGGCAGTCTAGGATGATTATTCCTCCTCCTTTTTTCATGAATTCTAGGATGATTATTTACCTTTCTAGCATCTTCTGTCTTTAATGTTGGAAACTGGGGAGGGGGTGATATGATAGATTTTTAGAACATCAAGGGGCAATTTGATAGTTTCTTTAGTTGAGGGGGTCAGTTGATAGTTTTTGAAAACAAGAGGGGGGTTTTATGATTTTAGCCCTAATACATATTAGATAATAGCTGTGCTTCTTCAGAAGGGAAAACATAAAAATTCTTTACTTTTTCTTTTTTTGTCAATTGGCATACCCAAAAAGAATATGAAACACAAAGATAAGGGTAAAATTTCTCTACTTCATGCCCATCTTTAAATAGAACATTTAACATCAATTCTGAATAGAATGAAATGACAAAACAGGTTCATTAACATAACATTAAAAAAAGGCAGTCTAGGATGATTATTCCTCCTCCTTTTTTCATGAATTCTAGGATGATTATTTACCTTTCTAGCATCTTCTGTCTTTAATGTTGGAACATGGTATGTGACAGAAAAGGAATCAGAAATGCCAACAGAATCCAAGAAAGCCACCTCACTTGTAGTCCCAATCACGAGAACATTTTTCCCCTGAAAAAGTTTTAGCAGTAAAACAAGAAAAGTAGAATCAGAGATATTTTCTAAAGAAGTCAATGCATGATATAAAGATGATCAACTAGCTGTACCAGCCTGAAACTAAGAATTCACATCATATAAAGATGATTTTACTATTATAAGATTACAGCACATCAAATGCACCTATCACTAAGTAGGAGTGAACTATAAATAGTCATTAAGATGACAATGATTCCCGCAAAAAAAGGAAAAAAATCATTGAAGGTAATTCTAAAAGTTTTTTTTTTTTCAAATCAGTTAATAAATGTAGAAAAAAATCAGATCAACACAGATTGGTACGAGGGCATGAGGTTTCAATTGGTGTTGGGAAGGCTGTATATATATTTAGTTCCCTTTAAGAGCTCCAAGTCCAAGGAATTAGATGGCACTTTTTAAAGCATCAAACTCATATCTGTCTTGATGATATATATATATATATATATTAGTTTTAACCATTAGGTACTGGTGATGACCATTTGTGTGTTGCTTTTTTTTTTTTTTTTTTTTTCTGAATTAAATTATCTTTACAAACAAAAAATAGATAGCACAAAGAACATCTTAAGTGGGTGTCGGTTTCTCTAGAATAGGCCAACAGCTGTCCCTTCTTTGCTTCTTTCACACGTGAAGGGTAACAATGTCAATGTTTTTCTGACTTTTTGTTTTTTTGGTTTGTAGGGGAGAACACAGAGATTCCACAGTCCCACAACTTTCTAAAACCCCTTCATAATGCAATTCCACAATATTAGCCAGACAGTGGAGCGAAATGGAGATGAATGAAATGTTACATGATACCATCTGATGCGAAACAGAGCGATCTAACATGATCAGTGACAAACACAACTTAACTAATTATTTAGCCAATGAAGAAAGACGATGAAGGAAAAACCTTGGGAGGAAGCCGTTTGAGGAGGACCAACAATGTCTGAGAAATCAAATTTGAAAAACGAGGTCCAATTGCAACATACTCCAGTAACCTGCACCAACAAACACAAGAAAAACCTATTATTAAGGAAAGCAAAATCTTTAAAATTAGCAGGAGTTACCTTTCAATGTCATCAAGGATGATGATGCTTAGTGGTGACTTGTAAGCATCCTCAAAAACCTTGACAATCTGAGCACATTTACTGCTTTCACTTAGCCCAATCATCGATTCAGATGATATCTGCACATGGTAGAAGAGCAAAAATTAGAAACATGAAAGAGAGAGAAGAGGAACTAACTTTCGACAAGAATAACTGCCACTTGGGCCACTTACTATCTTGACATAGGGAAAGTCACTGTCAATGCCAACAGTAGCTGCCATCGCGCTCTTACCACTGTCCAAGACAATTACAATTTAGGAGAACAATAGTTAACTGATGAAAAAGGAACAACGCATTCATATAACTGATATGAGAATGGTGAGATAAATTATAGGAGTTACTAGAAGTAATAGTGTTCATAATCAACGTATGAGGGAGAAATTAGGGGTGACGCCTAATAAAATAAGAGAAAGTAGACTTAGGCTTTACATGGACATGTCAGACACACAGCACTTGGACAAGGATAAGAGATATGTGTCCAACATATTTGGTTGGATCTGTACCTAAAAAACACGTCCAATAATTCTATCTTTTTAGATTATTGCTTCAAAACGAATTAAATGTCTATTTTGAACACTAAGTAACATAAAAGCGTTAATTTACTCTTGAATATATATATATATATATATATATGTATATATGTAAAATAATATGAATATTTAGCAGTGTCACTGTATTTATCTATTTAGGGAGACATACCTGCATCCGACTCATACTACCAATATAGGACATAGTGGTATGGACATGTAAAATATAGGCCCATAGATGGTAAGAAAAAGAAGATTTGCATGCATAGAATGTAAGAGAAAAAGAAACCGACCAAAAATAAGATAGGACGAAATTATTAGCTTTAAAGAATTAAATATAATAGGAGAAATGACTTGCAATAGAAAAGAATGAAAAAAGAGAACTCAAGTGGCCGACCTTATTCATAATGGGGATAAAGGCAAGGGTTACGATAGGTGGTGATTACAGTTAACAGATGAACACAAGAAAGCAAGACACTTACCTGCCACTTGGGCCTTCCAGAAGACATGTAACAAGTGGGCTTCCTTTGCTCACCCTTACTTGCTCTGCCAGTAACATAGTTCTTTTGTAGATGTGCTGATGTCGTCCACCACAATCCACCATGCCATTGAGTCTGCAAGTCATATTTAGTTGGTGGAAAGTGAATACACTTACAGAATAAGAAATTTGAGTTGCTTTGATGGAGAAAAGGTTGTTTGAGCTATATAATTGTACAAGCACAAATGCCGTTGATATACAGTCACAGCATGTCCAGTGTAGTTGTTTGACACAACGTGATTTGATAAAATATTTCACTACTTAAGCATTAAGTCGTGCATTATCAGTTTTAGTTTCTATTTCTTTTTAAAATATTTTGGTTTTTTAACAGGAATAAAGTGTTAACAAAAATTATATAAACTATGAACTATGAAATTATCCTAGTAACACTGAATAAGATTTTGTTGTAGTTACTCTCTTAATTTGAAAATTTTGGTATCTAACAAAGAATAAGCTGTTAAAAAATATATATAAGTGAAGCGCGAAATATTCTAAGTCGTAGAGACTAAGAATAAGACGTTTCCAACTATCACATCTGCTGTAAATCTTGGTCATGCTAACACATTATCAGTTATGTAAAACTTTTTAATTAGTTTAAGCAAGTAAAATATATTGAACAATGATATATTTCCATTGCCCTTTTTGTATATTTCAAGGGAGACATTGAGGTGGGTAGCTAAACGGCAAAAGGGTAAGGGCTTCAAGGCACATGCAGGTCACGACTGAAAACCAATTTTACGAGTCTAGCAATCTACAATTTTGAAGAGAAATATCCTCAACCACCACAAGAAATCATGTAATCCCCTAGGTCTATAGTCAATTAGGGGGGAAACCAATCTTGTTTGAAGTTTGAACAACAGAACATATTTTTAATATACATAAAGGGATATTAATAATGGCTAGCACATTAAAAAGAAAATATAATTTATCTCCTAAGAACCAGGTGCACTTGAATGTTGGAGTTTGCAGCTTTAGACCACTCTTGGTGCCTTAGTGTCAAATCTTTGGGCCACTTCTGATGCAAGGATGCCACACCCGAGCTACTCCAGACAACCTGACACTCAACGACTAACTAGCTTTGTGCTTTTATCTTAAAGAGAAGTACTCACACACACATTTCACAAAATTGACCACTACAGGGCTCGAACCCCTCACCTCCCCTTTAAGGGAGGAGAGGTTATACCATTGGGCTAATAGCCCATTGGTAACCTTCCACCTGCTTGTTACCAAGATGCCACAACATTCCATTGCAAGATACACCAGGACTAAAGAGACTTCACTAGGTGGTCTGTTGGCACACCTATGGCAAACTTAAATCCGTATCACAAGTGGCTTCTGGACTTGTAGGGCCAATTGGCAACCTTCTCCGACCTTGTGACAGGCTCTAGCTCCCACACGCCAGAATTTCTAAATAAGGGCCACTAGCGTAAATTGAATTAACCATTCTACTTCTCTCAAACAGTGACTACAGGTCTCACCTACTCTCTCAGAGCTCATCTAAAATTTTGACAATTATTTGGCTCGTTTTGAGAGATACTAAACTTTGAACACCCAACTCCCCAATTCAATCCCTCCTATTGGGTGCCATGCCATCACTTTAATACTGCACTACAATAGTCAGTGCCTTCATATCACAATACTCTAAGAATGCTAAAACTAACAAAAGTTTACGATATACTACTAAGAGTCACAACTCGCCCATAATTTGACAAGGCATGAGGTAAGACACTTCCCAAAAAAGGAGAAAAACTTAATTGAGCCAGTTGTAGTGACGACATGGTATCACCAGCTTATTAAATACTGCCATGTAGCGATAGGACCCACTAAAATAAAGCATTTTTATTTATGTGACGTGATACAATTGGTTGATGGCACAGATAACGAAGTATTAAAGGTGCAAGGAAGTTTTCTCCCAAAAAAGGGCATGAGGTAAGACATACAACTTACCAACCTGTATAAGTTAGACTATCCAAAAAGATGAAGTAGAATGCATGAACTGGTACCAGTTACAAGCTATACCAAAGCCCTTCTATACAGACAAAAGATTGTGCTATCATTCATTTTAGCAATAATATTTTCTTTGCACACGTTTTAAAGATATATAACAAATTCACCATACTTGATAACTATGTCTTACCTGCAGCGATCAAGATCATCTGTAGAAGCTCCGAATGCAGGAACAATTTCATGAAGGGCATTCAAAAAATCGTCCATTGTGACTCTTATACTCTCCTCATCAACTGGCTTAGTGAGGTCATCCATGTTTAATTGTCGGTTCAAAGCATACGATACTGCACTTTTTACAACACCTTCAAGCTCTGCTCCACTGTAATTCTTTGTCCGAGCAGCTGCAATAAAAAAATAATAATCATAATAATAATTCAACAGAATTCTGTTAATGAATTTTGTGAAACTGATCGTTTGAAATTCTTTACATCGCATACACCTTCAAATTAGGAAAGAAATTATAGAAAATGCAACTAATATACTCCTCTTGTTGAGCATCCCAACCATTGAATAGGTACATGCTGCACCACATTCAATCAATGCATAAAAAAATGGACAATAGGTTAATTTAACTTTCAAGATATCCATAACAAAGAAATTCTTAAACTAAATATTAAGCAGGAGCTCGTGTGCCAGTGTCATTCACCTGGGTTTAGGGAACAAGTAAGATGTAAATCTGACAGGTCTACAATTTCATGATAAAATCTATAGTTGGAATAGCAGCTGATACAACACGGTATCAAACAACAGATGTGATACGGAAAACATGTTCTGAAAAAAATTCCTTAGAAGTATGTAATAGAAACGACATGGTACCATAAAAATAGGTCAACTGCTTATTGCAAGTAATATGATTCTGAAGTTCACTATGGTAACTGCAATGATTTATCACACTAGGACATGATACATGGGTTTAAGTAATTGCTCATTTCATGTATGGATTAGGCACCAAAGCCTCTGATATATAGCATATCAAAAAATTAAAACAATCCTTGATTGATCATTTTCATTTTGATAAACAATTCTTGATGAATCAATCAATATTCTCTCCAAAATCCTATTTGAAGAAACATTGTTATATGCCAAGCAATCAATACTGACATCACTTAACAGGCTGGGTGCTTCGCGGCCAGACCCAAAAGCTTTAAGCAATTAGGTGAGGCTAACACCCAACCCATATAAATACCCATTTCACTTCTCAGTCGGATCCGATGTGGGATACTTCTAAGATTCTCCCCCACCCGAACTCACAACGCCCTCGTTGCGGGCCACCCTACCTACCCGGGTGGCACACCTGGACACCTTTGGGCCGGGTGCTCGGTATGACATAACGGGCAGGTGCTTCGCGGTCCGACCCAATAGCTTAAGCTATTAGATGGGGCTAACACCCAACCCATTTACTACCCATGTCACTTCCCATCAGGATCCGATGTGGGATACCTCTAACATTCATTTTGTATTGCCACAATGCATATGGCAAAATTCTGCTAGTATCAATGACAATATGACAAAGTTTTCCTATGTATTTGACACATAATTAAAGTCTTTGTCAACAATACAAGTATTAGATTATACTCTCTACCAAGACATGAGACAACAAGGATGTTGATATTTGGTTAACTCCTGAGACATCTTGGTTAGATAGGCCATACATGCAAGATGACTTGTGAGTCATCTGACGTTACACCAATACGTCCTTGCAGAACTGGCCTTTCAAACAAACCCCAGAACCTTTTCTTATTCTCCCTTTTGTTTTCTCATCATAGGCACATTCATTTCCTACACATCCGGGATTCTAAACCTGCACATTCACTTGCCACACATCCGAGATTTTAGAACTTTTTTACTTTCCTCCATAAAAATATCAATTCAGCATTAACATTTCTGGATTTTAAAGTTGAATTTCTTTCTTTAACCATAAAAGGTAATTTTTTTCAAGTGCTTGGTAGTTGATCGTGTATAAACATGGGTTTTGATGTTAGATTATTGAATCATCTATACTTGCAATAAATCAAGGTAAAAATATCTATATTATTGTAGTAGACTAGCCTCAGTGAATCTGTAAGCTATATGTGTTAAACTGTTTTTCCTGTGTGTTTTACAGATCCATTTATTTATTTATGTTAACAGAAAGAAATTTTACAGATCCATTTATTGTTCTTATTCTATCTAAACTTTCATATTCTTTAAGATTTTTTTGGCCTTGGATGCATTGTATGTAGTTTATCGTAGCATATTGCCAATAACACTCACAACCAAGTTGTTTTAGTGCCGGCCAAGTCAATGATCAATACCACGACTTCGACCTTGACCTACAATGACGGGTTTGTTTTCCAACAAAGTGCACCAAGCTCCTTAAGGCACCTATCTGTAAAATGGATCATCAGCTTAAATTCAAAGACCTGCTCCCATTCTAATGTCTTGTCAGTGACATTTTATTATGAAATAACCATCCAATAAATGTGAGAGAAACTATATACAGCTTAGAGATGCATCACAGATTAACTAAATTCAGCATATTTCTTGGAGGTGAAGTTTACCATTGTCAGTAGGGACAACAGAACAGACACAGAAATTGGTCTACGTAATTGCACAAAAGATAAATGTATCTGATATAGTTCCAGATCTGGATACAAGTTTGAGTTGCTTACTTGCTTTATTGCCAAATCTTGAGGTAAAGCTTAAGTTACAAATTACATATGATATATTTCAAACTATCCCTTCCATTAACATATAAATTTCCGTTTTTCCTTCCTATCTCTAATGCTCCGTTCGGTAGTAAGGAAAAAAATTGAATGGAAGGGAGAGAAGAAAGGATGTCTGAGACATCCCTAGGGAAGAGATTAAGCGTTTCCTTCTTTTTGTTCGGTTGGATGGAAGAGAATGGAAAAAACTGACAATTTAATTTCATCGGTAGGATAAAAGGAAAGATAAATTTTTAAGTTGTTTTTACCATAAACCATCCCTTACTTTATTTATGGGATTTATTAAAAATTTATGAAGAGTGATGTAGTAATTTAAAACTTCTATAATAGACTCACTTGTTTCTCTCCTATCTTCCGCCCATATTTGGGCGGATGAAAATTTGTAGAGGAAGGATGACTCATCCTTCCTATTATCCTTTCTTTCCTTATATCATCTCTACCAAACTAAGGAAATTTGTTCCCTCCTTCCTATTTTCCTTCCACCCCTCTTCTTTCCTTCCTACCGAACATAGCATAAAGTTCTGTTTTCCTTTCCCCTCTCTCACTGTCTATGTGGCGCACCAGGAGTTGTGATGGAGAGATTGGCATTGCCAATCACTGGGTTATGGAACATCATAGAGCAGGTTGACAATTCCCCAAAGCAAAAGCTGCATAGATACTGGATTACGAAACAGTTTGTAATTCAGATTTTCTTTGGATAGTATGAAAAGGTACAAATATGATTAAAACATACATAAAAGCCCACTCCCAAGAACATTTGATTTTGGACATTGAGGTGGGAATCTGGACCTAAGCTCACATCACTACTCTTTGCTTCTATGCACACTTCGCGAGCTACCTAAGCTCATTTGATTTGACCTTTTTCTTAGATTGAGAAAGCTCAAGCAAGAAAGGTTGCAGACAGAAAGAATGTTTCTGAATTCAGCACAATAATAAGGATGCCGAAGCAAAGCAAGTGTTGTCTCAGTCAATACGTAGCTCAAACCCTCTGAAGTGGGTGCGGTTATATCAAGGAAGTTAGGGGAGGGGGAGCTACACAGCGCTAGTGGGGAGGCAAAGGTTGGCATTTATAGCCTCAGAGATGAACAGATGAAGGGACTTGAACCTCAAGCACAAGACTCTCCAGAGGAAACCATTAACTGGATTATCAAGAGGGAAAGCCACAGAAACACCAACCAAAATCGTGGTACTTTGCATACGTACTACTACGTAAGACACAGACATCCACGGACAATTGAAAGTAATAAATCTTAGGTGTTTCAATTTGACATTGATTTGTAAATATTTTTCTCCCATTACATTAGAGACACAAAATAAAAGGGACATTGCCCTGTTCTGTTCCCGCTACAACAGGGTCCTGGGAAGGGAGAACTCAAGACAAACCTAACATTTTGTATGTCACAAAGTAGGTGCTGGGCTCTAACTCGCAGTGATGTTCAAGCCTTAAAAACCATTGAACCAGGCAACCCCCCCCCAAAAAAAAAAAAAAAAATGCATGTATTTATCACCTTTCCTACTACTAAAAAAAGCCCATCTCTAATCGATGTTTACAGAATAATAATGTCTGAACTAACAATGCTTGGGTGTAACATTCTACAATTTTTACAGAAAAATACCAGATTCCTTTACCCAGGGAATCATTCCAGGGATAATCTATTTCGGTAACAAAAATAACAAACTCACGGAAGGCATAACTCACATACCGAGCTCTTGCAAGTTCACATCTGGAGCAAGAAAAGAATTTTCTTTCATCTTATTTGTGTGAATTTCAAGAATTTGTAAACGACCATTCTCATCAGGAAGGCTTATCTCCACTTGGACTTCCAGGCGCCCAGGCCTAATAAACACACAATCAGAAACAAAATCAAATTCTTTAATTGGAACACTTCAGAAATTTCTACTTAAAGCGTCCCAGCAGCGAGCAACGCTACATCCAGCTAATGGTAGTAAAATAATTTTATGTGGCACAAGTGGTATGATATAAAAGTTACCTCAAAAGTGCTTCATCAAGCAAATCCTTCCTGTTGGTCATCCCGATAAGCAAAACATTATTCAGAGACTCGACACCATCTATCTAAATAGAAAGTGATTTCCAATCAGTTACCGCCATTTATAAAATATTATATATCCTATCGCACAACTTCAGATCATTAAACCAACCTTTGTAAGGAGCTGGTTAACAATGCTATCGTGAACTCCAGTTCCATCTCTAGTTGAACCTCTTGACTGCAAATGCAAGCCAAACATAATTTATAAAATCAAATAAACATTAATGAATGAATTGCCCACAGGTGGTCATTAAGAACAATAACGAATTATTATTTTTGATAAGAACAATAACAAATTATTGTAGTATATTGAACAACACAAAAGAGAATGCTAATGCATAACAAACACATACGTGCATGTATTAGTAAAGACAAGGTTATCCAAAACACTAATCAATTATAGCATCAAATTCTAGTCGCAAATTGAATGAATCAAGAATTTTTGTGGGGATTAATTTTCAAATTGAGCAATTAAAAGTTAAGAGTAGCTGTCAACAAACAAGAAGTTCTCAGAGTATAAAGGTTGTATAGTTTTTTTGACACTTATCAATGTCCAACAACTTCTCAAGGTAATATGTTACCTGGATTAGTAATATTATAACATAAAGCTATATTGGAGAATTCAATTTATTCTCTCTTGACTTCAATCTGAAACTCAAACCTTCCACTTGAAATAAAAAATAAATAAAAACTTACTTTCACAATCAAAAGTTAACTTCCAGCAAACAACTTTGCTTAAATCAACAGGAGAAGGGAAAGAGTAAAACAAGGCCACTTCATGATGCAATATGAAAAACTCATTCTCAGTGACAACTTAAAAATTATAATGGCCAATGCTTTCACAAACGACAATAGAAGTCCTACCTTACAGATTGCATCAATTTCATCAAAAATTATGACATGCAAGTCACTTTGATCTCCTGAAAAGAAGAAATGAAAGCATTATACACTGGAAGGATGGATCAGAAGCAAATTAGCGAGCACAACCATCTTACCCCGGGTTCTTTGGTCTTGTTCAGCATCAGCAAATAAATCTCTTACATTCTTCTCAGTTTCGCCAACAAATTTGCTCAACACTTCAGGGCCATTGACAATCTAGAGTTCTCAAAATCTTTAGTCAAACTATAGCAAGCATATGAGAACATTTAATGATATAAATTTAAATTAGCCAGAGAGTCGGGTATTAGCACATGTAGTCCCAAATATAATTCAAGATTGTTTAATGATCTTTCATACCATCAACTATAAAGTAGCATTAGCAAGCAGATGAGAAACAAGGACCCCACATACAAGAGAGGCAGGTGTGTTGTGGCATGGCAGAACAAGAAACTCTATACTACCTAGTTGCCAGTTAGCTATAACTCTGAGAACCCAAGTGAGTGGCGGGTTTTCACAACTTAGCTGTCACTCAAAAAAGACTATCCTCGTAATATAAGGAACCATTAACAGTAGGAAAATGGTGCTTGAGTACAAGCCAAAAACCCAGTTCATGAGGCTCCCGCCATTAAGGGGTCTAGGGAGGGTCAGATGTACGCAACCCTACCTCCAAATGTGGACAGGTTGTTTCCTTGTTCCAGGTCACAATGGAGCAACCTTCCGTTGCGCCAAGGCTCACACTCCAAAAACCCAATTTAGGTCACTGCTAGGTTTATCCAGTTCTGCTATACAATTATTGCCTCATTTTGTTGGTTCTCTCTTTCAAAATCATGTGAATTTTTGTTAGATTTGGGGTTTTCTTTGCTCAAAAACCGAATAGTATACTGAGCAAAAAAAATCCCCAAATCTATCAAAAACTTCAAATGATTTTGAAAGGAAGAACCAACAAAATGAGGCAATAATTGTATAGCAGAACTAGATAAACCTAGCAGTGACCTAAATTTGACAATTTCATAGGGTTTCAGAAACCAACACCTAAAAATTGCCCTCGAGCCATTTTGGTGCGTGATCAATCCTATCAAAGTATGGGAGCTACTTATCTTCTTTTCTAAAATTTTGGAAATCAAATCTGAAATTGATCAGACTTCAGATGGTCCGCATTTTCTAATTTGACATTTCTCAACATTTTCTTTTGTTTAGGGTTGTTTCCTTCTCCTTTCTTGTTTGTCTGTATTTAATGATGCCCAAAATTGGCTGATTGGTTTACATCAAAGCACCATCGCACCATGGTTCTTGACATTTTTGCTTGGTACACTGGTAAAAGCTTGGACTGCCAAGAGTGACAATGTGGGTTCCAATGCTGAGAGCAGCAACATTGTGCAATTAATGCCAAAGATTAGGTATGTTTCCCCTCCAATCATCCTTGATTCACAAGGACCACACTGGTATTGGCCTCTTTATCAAATCTCTATTCATATTCAGCAGGCCGTCGTCTAACAAAAAAAAAATTGATTCTTCCATCTATCAATCTGGTTAATAGCATTGATGATTCAATTCAAAATGGAACAGAAACTTATCTCTCTTATGATGATCAAATGCAGGCCTACCTGAACTTCTTCTTGCCATCACTTAAGAATTGCAAACAAAGGCGGAAATATATATATATATATATATATATATATGGCTGAGGAAGTGTTACGTAATAAAATGTCAAGAAGAAAATTGAAAGTTAGATGAATTTTATATAATCCAACCCAAGCTTCAACTGCCAAAGAGCAAGGTGGAAACAAATACAATAACAGTATGTTCTATGGCATAGAAGAAGCCAGGACACCTACGCACCACTAGGTCAATAAGTCATTGGATCCACACTCCTACAATTTTCAGAATGAAGACAAAAGGTGTGGGAAATTGTGGCTGAAGTGGATGCTAAAGGTATTACACTAGGATGGACTAAGATGGAAACCAACACCGTCTTATAAGACAGAAATTCGTCCCAACGAGGTCACCAAGGACTCCCGAGCTCACCTTTATCCTTCAGAATTGGTCCTAGTTAGAAGGGTCATGGCCTGTCTAAATGTTCCCAAGGCCTTTTGAAAATGATTAGCTCTAAAGTGTGCGAGCAGACAGTCTTGTAAAAGTGAGGACGTAAAAGCCAATTTATAGTATATTGATGAAGGCAAAAGGGTGCTCATGCTAAATAAAACTACTTATGAGATATTGCCACATGTCTTAAAGTAGAAATATAAAAAGAAGAGAAAGGAGAGAATTGCGTAAAGGCTTGAATGAGATAATCACTCATTCACAGCTATAGTATCTATAGATAAAAAGAGCATATGCTCATATTACAACAAAAGAAATTAAATTAAATCTAAATCAAATCACAACATATTTTATGGCATATTCTATAGCATAATCAAATCTCTGCCAATACGGGAAGTCATTCCATAAATCGTGGCTATCATATCTGCTAACACTCCCCCTCAAGTTGGTGTGTGGATATCTAAAACACCCAACTTGGACAATGCATTCTCAAACACGATCTTGCTAACACCCTTTGTAAGAATGTCTGCAAACTGCTGAGAGCTTGTGACAAATGGAGTGCAAATCTAACTAGGGAGGATTTTCCCTCAGATGAAGGGCCGATCAACAAATCAAAAATGTCTCTTCAAACTATAAACAATTAACAATGTCTCCTCAGACCATAAACAACCAATCACGTCTCCTCAAACCGTAAACAACCAATAATGTCTCCTCAGACCATTTCCCTTCATACACATGTTTAAAACATGTAGATGGAAAAATCAACAATGTCTCCTCAGACCATTCTCCTTCATACATATGTTTAAACAATGTAGATGAAAGAATCAACAATGTCTCCTCAGACCATAATAAGAAACAACTATGTCTCCTCGGATCATTTCTGAATAGGTGGTGCCAAATTCGCAACGCCTTCATTGAGGTCGGAACACCCTGCCAACCCGACACCTCCCGGATGGGTGATGTCACCTTAGACCATTCCCGAATGGGTGGCGCCAAACTCGCAATGCCCTCATTGCAATCGGACCACCCTGGCTCTGATACCAAGTAGAAATATAAAAAGAAGAGAAATGAGAGAATTGCGTAAAGGCTTGAATGAGATAATCACTCATTCACAGCTCTAGTATCTATAGATAAAAAGAGCACATGCTCATATTACAAGAAAAGAAATTAAATTAAATCTAAATCAAATCACAACATATTCTATTGCATATTCTATAGCACATTCTATAGCATAATCAAATCTCTGCTAACACGGGAAGTCATTCCATAAATCGTGGCTATCATATCTGCTAACACTTAACTTGGATGCCATTAGTGCAATGGTGGTGTTCCAATAAGAAGCAATAGGGTGGGCAGTATTACAGCACTAGAGTGGCAGTGTGATGTCAGTGCAATGCAAGACATTACAAGGCAGTGAGACGCCATAAAAAGACACTGCTTTGATCCAAATGGTGCCACCATGTGGAAGTGTAGCAGTTTGCTAGAGGCAGTCGTGTATAGATAAAGTGACTCATATAGGATGCTGCCACCATAAGTCGGGTGATGTCTTGCTCTCTCAAAGACAGGTCAAGGTATTAACCTTGAGGGGATATCTGTAAACTCTAGACTTCAACCAATAAACCAATTACACTTAGAACCCAATGTTGACCATGGCAAACCGTGAGGTGAGTCCAAAGCACACACCAAGCTGTAAGAGCCCCTGGGTCCTACTCCAGTCCAACCAGCACACAAGTTGCATAACAGTACAGTCTGTGCTGAGCTGACTTTTATTGAAGAGGTTTGTCTATGGAAGATTGACTGCAACCAAAGAAGGAAAAAAATCGAACATCATGAAGATGTAGTCTCGTCTAAATGTCCAGCCATAGACTGCGGAGCAAGTTGATTAGGAAAGCCAGTCGTGCGGCCAATAAAATTTTGATTTGGTGTAGGGTGAGTGGGGGTGGAGATAACCTTCTATGAATGTGCATTGTGCCAACCTCCAGTGCATTCGACCATAGGCTTTGACATGTTACTATGTTAGGATTTCTACAAAGACACAATACCCATATTCAGAGAGGACTGTGTGCCTAATGGAGTCGTTCCACGTATCAACTGGAGATTGGAGACTAGTAACACTTATACAATCACACGTCTTGCTGAAAGAGCGATAACCCATAAGAAAATGTCACACAACTGGCTAAGGATGCCACATTGGTTGCCTCTTCGGTAATACACAGCGATGGAGTGCTAATGCCAGACACCCACAAGAGCAAAGCAGCCCCATATTCACCAAGTCAAGGTAGATGGTGGAGGCAATGAAAAGAATTATTCAAAGTTTAACCTATCAGTCTAATAAGGCTGCATATTGGCAGGGTCCAGATAGGAGTTATACTCCAACAAAGGACAAAGTTCCAATGATGTCTCAAACAAGTCAGCGTGCTTAAATTAATCAACAGGAACTTCAAGTAAAGCACAAAGTGTTTGGTTCTGCAGAATGGATAGAAACGCAATTTAAGAATCAAAATGATAATAACAGATGATAACAACTTCAGTCTGGATTCTGTGAGAGATATGTGGCATTGGCAGATAGATAAGATGAGCACATCAGTTGAAGTTTGATAACCTAAGCTCCTATTTGGTGATTGCAAAAAAAAAAAAAAAAAAAGGCAACAACTTCACCTGAAGTTTATAACTGTTATTTTTTTTTGCAAAACAAATCAATAGAATCTTCAATGTTAAGTTCTAAGTCACATAAAGCGGGAGCGGGAGCGGGAGCATGAAAGCATCGAAGTTCAAAATTACTTGAGAGTGAGAGCGTCTCGAGAGCGGTGTGTGATTATATTATATGCGTGTGTTATATGAAATATGATTATATTAATTATTATTTTTTGATGTATTTTCTTTAATTAATATAAAATGCATTTGATGATATATTTAGAAATGTATAATTTAGTGAACATTCTTCGTAATTAAATAAAATAGTTTTTTTTTCCCGAAAAGTTTAAGCAATTTATATTGAAAATATTATTGTACATCAAGGGCCTTGGTCCAAAACAAACCCATATTAAGGGCAGCAAAGCTTACACAGAGCCTAATAGAATTACTTGAGCCAAAGGCCCACCCAAAAGGACAAACAAATAGGCCCAAAAAAGGAACAGTACGGTTCCTTAGTTAGACTACTTGAGAACATTCCGGTGAACAAGCCGGTAAACGCCATGCCAGAGCTATAAGCTCTCCAATATTAGTCTGGAGGTCGCAGGAGTGGTCTGCAACAAGGACGAGGAAGATTCCACTCCACAAGGATGTTTCTAGAGGCAGCACAGTCCTTAAGAACTCCTAACTTGAGAATCAAAGAGATGGTTTCACATACCCTTGCTGCAACTGATCTCTGTGAATAAAAAGACCTGCAAATTATGTGGTTTTGTGTGGATTCGCGAATTCTTAAAGTGAGTTTGCGAATTTATGCCCTTTTCGCTCCCAAATCGCAAATACGCGTGCAGAGCTCTGACTCGTCACCCAGTTGAACGAATCCTGTGACTTAGGTTAAGTTTAAGAAGCTAGGCAGGGAAAACACAATCACTCAAATCATCCTGACACCTACTTTAAGAAGTGAGACGGTTAAATGTGCATATTATTTCTCTATTGAATGGAACCATTTCAGATCTTCAGGTAAGTATGCGTCGATTTCCACAATGAGAAACAATTTTGATGTGATGGAAAATCATAAATACTGCAGCATAGAAAGTAACAACTTGCAACACATTTCCCTAAAATGATAAAAGAAGCTCAATGAGTGCTTAACTTGTATACCTTTGGGTCCTTTCCATTCAACATTTTTCCAATCTGGCGAGCCATTAAAGTCTTTCCAGTGCCAGGAGGACCATAAAGCAGCATTCCTTTCACATGTTTGATTCCCAACCTGAAACATACACATTATTGCATCCCAAAGCATAAGTGAATTAAGAATTTAAATTTGACAACCACCAGTATAATAATGAAAATTTGCAAGACAATAACACTACTTATTCGTCACATGTGGAGGAAACACTCTGGATGCAAAAGCTCTTCGAAATATATCTGCAAACTCCGCACCTAAGCCACCTATACCCAATGTCTGAAGATTAAACTCTTTGTGCTTGAAGATATTGCTGCTAGCAGATTCACGCTGGTTGACAATCTGCATAGGACAATATGATTCAATTGAAAATTATGGACCAGTAATTTTCTCTGGCAAGGATGATTAAAGCTTACATTTGTGGACGATAAAGCAGCAATATAAATTTAAAAATAATAAAGAGACAAGCAAGCAAGAATACATGGGAGTTCAAGAGATGCATAAACCATTGAAAGCTAACTATTATTTGGGGGAAAAGGGACAACTAGTAAATGAAAATATCAGTAAGCCTAATGCAAAGACAACAAAGATTTACCTTTATTCCACTGGAATTTGATGCTTCAAAAACAACGTATGTATCAGCAGAAATAATCCCTCTTTCAGGACTGATTGGTTCTTCTTGCCCCTCTACAGCAGCCCGATTGACTGTAAAGATGTAGCCATTGCCATGATACTCAAAAGTAACCCTCTGTCCTGATGTCATGACCTGCATATCATGATAATTCCAAAAAATGTAAGATATACCAACAAAAAAGGATAAACATAGCATGTGGATCAATTGCCAAAACTTGATTAGTCATTTCCTGGTCTCTTCACTTTGATTGTTTAAAAAATCTGATGACTCAATGTCTGATCCAATGCATCTTTTACTAATGCAGCATTGCTATATTAAACAACATTTGTTCCAGTTGCCATTCAGCGGTTGAAGAAACAACTTCGTTTGAAAAATAATGGATTAGATGTAGTTCTCCCTATCCCAAACCCCTCCACCCCAACCAAAAAAGAAAAAAAGACAAGTGAATGCATTGACAGAGCCAGGAATTTATTTCAAGGGGGCACATTGAACATGATAAAATAAAATAAAATTGTTCCCAAATCCCAACTACTACTGCAGCAAGCCGAAAAATAGAAGTGCAGTAATGGTGCAATAATCAAGGTTCAAAGAGTATGTCATATTCGGAAAATTAATGCAGTAAAGAATAAATCAGAACCACAGAGTATCATATTCGCAAAAAAAAAAAAATGCAGTACAGAAAAATTCAGAAACAGAAAATACAAACATAAAGTTCATAAAATTGAAATAATAAATTAAAGAAGAAGAAGAGAAGGGAAAAGAATTTAAAGAGAGAAAAAAAGGTAGCTGCACATACATCACACGAGTGCAAGAAGAAGGAGAAAGAAAAGAAGAATGAGAGAACTTTGAAAGGGAAAGAAGTAGGGTTTGATTGACGGAGGAGGGGAATGCACATTTTTTTGAATAATCAAATAAGTTTGAAAAGAATGAAAAAAACAAGGAAGAAATAGAGATATTTTTACAAAAGGAAAATTCTAAGGGGGGCATTTTGTAAAATATCACAAAATTACATACAGACATATGGTGGCTTCCTTTTGAGTGAAAGGAAACATAGTATTGAATATATTGGCAGAAATGCTAACTTGAAACCCCAAAAAGATAACAAATATGGTTTTTTTTCAAGGATAAAAAGGAGAAGTGGAAATTTTATTGACCAAGTTGTTAAACTAATACCCAAATATAATGATAACCAAAAAAATAAAAATAAAAAACCTTTCTTATAAAGTTGCAAATGACCAGCCTCAAAAACAAAATGACAGTTATTCTCTAGACTTTATTCATCTTTGCTCTAAGATTCCACACAATATTCCATTTAGTTTGTATAATTAACACACTAAAAGACCACGCATCTATTTTATTATTAGGTTTACAACTGCAATTCACGAACATTTTGAGCTCGACTTCTTATAACTTGACTCGCGTTTCTTCATCAATTAAACAAATTGAGCTCAAGACTCTACTATGAACGCGGTTATTAAACAAGTCAATGCTTGGTTAGTATAGGCTCTTGAACATATTCTAATAGGTTATTTATTTGAAAAGTTTCATAAATATTTATTAATGAAGCAATGTAATTTTATACAAAATAAAAAATAAAAAATAAAACAATATGTATCATGAGCTCACAAGCTGAACCAAGCTAGCTCGTGAAAAACCTGAGCCAAGCTCGACTTCAACTTTCTGAGCTCATCACAAACCCAAGGCAACCCCAAGATGAGCCTGCAAAAGAATGAGCCAAGTCCGAGCAATCTTGGGTTTTGCTCGACTCGCTTCATTTGTACCTACTTGTGACATATAATTTGCAAACCATGAATTAAATTATATCAATGTTCCCTGAAAAATAATGATGGTGTGAGATAAAACAAAACTAGTTTGCTAATCCCCTACCCCAGGAACAAAAATAACATCTGCATCCAGAAATTTATCTACACAAGGAGGTCACTTACCCTTTATGTACTTATAACAGCACCAGTATTCATATATGACAAGTAAGAGAAACCTGTTACCTGGTTCATAAATCTCTTCCGCATCTGCTGAGACAAAAGAACGGCATCTACCTGCCAAGAAAGAATATATTTCAGTGACGACCATGGATCAAAAAAGAAGCTCCTAATCAAATTGCACCACAAAAGGTTTCGTGAAGCTTATGGATCAGAAGGCAATTCAAGCAATCCATGTTAAAGGCATCAGAAAAGGCAAAAAATGGGGGGAAAAAACTTTAAAAGTCACACCTGTTCATCTTTAGTCCCCTTTTTCACAAACTCCAACTCAAGAGTAAGTAATGCTAAGTTGAAATCATCAGGTGGAACAAATCTAAAAAAACATCCACCATAAAAGAATTAAAGAATTGGTAAAACCATATTAACAACCACTAAAAAATACTCAAAAGAGTTACGATCACCAACCTGATGACAGACACCGTGTCCCCAGTAGAAACTCTTGCATGGCGACGTTGGATAGCATTGAGACCAACATGGCCAATAGGTATGCCTTCATGGGCAGTGTGCTTTAGTTAAGGCAACAATGAACTCATCCAATTCAAGAGACATTCTAAAGACAGCATAGGATATTAACCTATGTACAAGTTGCCAAGTCGTGGAGCAGACTATTCCGAAGACTCACCCGCTAACCCTTCTATTCCCCACCCAAGATGCTAAACAGCTGTGTAAAGGCTTTAGCGGGTGGAGAAGGCATTGCTTTAATAATTGTATCCATGGGGCGTTATCCGCCCCCCTACTGTTGATTCCATTAATAAGGCCAAACAAGCATGATTTAATTGCTCTATTCACCTGAGATCTGATATTATGTCATACCTCCTTGTACAGCAAGTAACACTGCATAAAATGCAGCTACAATCCTAACACACCAGGCAAGGCAATGTACATATTACCAATTTGAAGCTCAAAAAGAAACAGTGATGATTACTACACCACTGGAAGTTCTGATATTGAGTTGTAACACTTTGCATCAATTAGCACAATATAAAACTGCAACAACAACCATGCACCTAAAAACTTGGAAAATTCCAAGAAATTGCAAAAGAAATCCATGGGAAACAATTACTTCAAGAATGTATCCAATATGAGTAAACTCAATTGCATTCCTAAACCACTCAGCTGTTGCCCAAGCAAGATATGCTATAATGTTAACATTTGACAATTCCAGGAGAAGCATACAGCACTGTAAATTTGAAATTGAGTTAAACCTCCATTCACCAATCAGCATTATGTGAAACTACAGTAACCAACATGCTACTGGAATTTGTAGGTTCGAAGAAAATTATGAGAAAATCTAAGGAAAGCAATTAGGCAAGCAAATGATGATAAGTTTATTCTAAAGCAAGTGTAGACTCAAGAAGGAATAAGCAAGAGAAGAGAGTGTCTGCCTAAACCAATCAGTCATCTATGGTCCATGGATCAATTGATAATCAATTGCTCATTTTCATTGATCACTTGGTGTAGTAGCTTCTTTAGTAAATTCAATTTTCTGTTATACCTAACTCAATGTATAATGAACTGAGTTGAGTACGGAAACTGTAAAAAATCCAACATTACTACACTCAGAGATGGAGAATATCCAAATTATCAACATATAGGAACATTCGAGTGGATTTTGATCAAACAGATTTGTTTATTACAGAAAAAAAAGGAGGGAATTTATTAAAGTCCATTCAGTCAGTGTTTTTAGCATCCAACAAAACCGGGCCACTACATTGTTCATTTCCTCAAAACCAAATAACCCATGATTTTCAGTAGGTGGACAAGGGAAAATAACAATGTTGGTATAATTATTTTACTGAATTGAATTCGGCTCAAAATTTTGAAATTATTTTATTCCCATCCCTCATTTCTCAGCCCCCAACCACGGGTTAATTACTAACTAATTGATGACCAAAGCAACATTAAATCTGATCTAAGCATTCACCGAACTATTAAAAATAACACAAAAAAATAAATAAATAACCGATCAAATACTATTACTAAAACAACACATTTAACATGTACATACAAAAAATTAAAATTAGTTTTCATTTTCTTCCTCATTTCTTACACCACCAATGACGGTTAATAATCAACCAATTCATCATCAAAACAAAACAATCACCTAAATAGTAAAAAGTAAACACAGAACAAACTAATATTCACACCGATCAAAACACTATACTAAAATCACACATATAATAAGCATACGTGAATGAGTGTGTGTGAAAATAAATAAAGCAAAAAAGGATATGCTAAAGACAAGACAAAGGTATCGCCTACGAGGGCAAAACAGAGTTTCGATCCAGCTACAGAGAAGTTCCTGAAATCGGTGGGCGAGCAATAGGCGAAATTGGTGTAAGCGAGATCTTTAGCCGGCGTGTTGGTGACGATCATGGTCGTTGGGCCAAACCCTGATCTCGCTGCCATTGTGTGTGAGAGACAGAGAGATCAAACAATCAGAAATGTTGTTGCTTTTGTTTTGCTTTTGTTACCAAGGAATGGTGAGAGCCTGCGAGAACAATGAGAACACAGTCGATGGGGGTTCGTTCGACGGTTTATGGACTCTTCTTGCCCTACGCATTCGAGCTGCGGCTCAACCAGTGAATGGTCGGATCGAACCGGAACCGGTTCAAACGGTTGCTTTTCTAATAACGGTTTTGGATTGTCAACTAAAAATTCAGTCAAATTAAAGGACTTGATCCTCTGAGTAATTCGCTGATATTAAAAACTTATTTATTATTAGTGTTAAATCACGTCTATTAATTTTAATCAAAATTTAAAATTATATCGATTTGAATTAAGAAATTTACCATACTCTAACTATGTTTAACATCGTTATCTTTCTCACAGTTTTTTTTTTTTTAAATTCCTCCCTTGTAAAGATTATATAATGAGATTTTATTTTTGTTGGTTTGATTGATGTAGGTTGTATTTGATCAACCTGCATCTTACATGTCTACTAAACTAATACCACCCAACCAATAATTAAAGATAAAAGCCATTTCCATTATGTCATTGTAAAATGATAACAAACTCCAAAATTTAACTGCATTATCGGTTAAAATTATCTTCAAAACATCATCTACACTTTTAGTTTAAGTAATAGAAATAAGTACATTACATGGTTTAAATCTTTTTTCAACAAATTTTTTTTTAATACAATACGTAGAATGGTGACAATACAAATGCATAATATCTTGACCTATGTTAGTGTTCCAAAATACTATTTATAGTGATATTAACGTACCTATGGTTGAGTTGAATTATGCTTTAACGGATCCATTATCTTTTTATTGTATTATCCAAATCAAAAAATATAATGATAAAATAATCTAAAATTTAAAAATTTTGTGCAAACAATCATTTCGAACAGGGGTTGTATGAGTACCAACTAGGAAAAACGAGACTTGTTTTAGATTTGAATAAAGATGAGAGAGATGGAGGATATTTTTTTGGAAAAGATAAGAGAGAGATAACGATGTTAAAAGTTGTTAAAGTATAGTGAATTTTTCTTAATTTAAAAAGGTGCAGTTTTTTAAATTTGGTAAACGTGATTTTACACAAGCAGTGAATAGGTCACGTATCATTCTGTAATGAATTCAATTTAGGATAACTTATAAAATATTTAACTTAGAGGATCCAAGTTCCAAATAAAATAGTTGTTATTATCATATACTCCTTTCTTCACATTTGCCTCGATAGTTCAGTTGACGAGTACTGCCTCTCAATTTTGGAGTGTTAAATTTCAACATCATTTGTTTTTTTTTCTTTTTTGTTTCATTTGGCTAATTCAGGATTAGATAATTACGAAAATAAATGAAGGGATGGTATTTTTTGTTAGAAAAAGGTGAAAGAAATTTTAAAAATGATACTACTATTTTAACTAAATTATTATCATATTTTTTTATATTTATATCAGAAATTAGAAAACTAATGCTCCATTTTGGTACAAACCGGTTAAAACATTTACTTTATTTTGGGACAAATTGATAATAAGGGTTCAAAGTACAAATTAAATAAAACAGCGTACCCACAAATAATACCACTTCCATATTAGCAATATACTCAATATTATTCCTTTTTTTTTTTTTTAAATTGATATACTCAAAATTTAACAATTCCTTACTATGATATTTTATCCGTTTTAATTTTATTTTGGGTCTCACTTTATTGAATTGTCGTGACTGGACAGGACTACATCTAATCTCAGTTGCTTGTGCCAGCTGATAGAAAATTTATATGGGTAAAATTATAAAATTAAGATCAGTCTCAAATGTCATATCGTTTTTTTTTTTTTTATTATTAATTTTTAAAAAAATTTTAAGGCATTTTCGGTGTATGAAATTTTACTTAACTTGCTTTTATCATTCTTTTTCAAAATTAACTTGCTTTTATCCTTCTTTTTCAAAATCTTCTCAATTTTAAAAGAATAACAACTGAGACATTTGAAACGATAAGTTATCCATTCAAATATTTTTAAATATTTTTAAGAAAATATTTAATATCTACTATATATTTGGTTAGCATTAAATATTTTTAAGAAAATTATAAAAAAATATTATTTCATTAATTTGGATAAGAGTGAGAATAAAATAATTTTCCATATCAAAACTGTCCTTACAAGTTCGATATAAAGTAATATACACGGAATAGGCATAAATAGAATAAAATAACGTATACAATTGGATTTATGAATAAATAAATAAATATATATATGTCCAAATACAAACCTGGTAATTGGCTAGATATTTTCTTTTGTTTTTCTTAAGTTTGCATTTTATATTAGGACTCTACTGCTATATTAGCTCACATCTTTTGCGGGTATGTAGAAGAGTCACAATTTAAAAAGTCATAAAGTTGTAATCTAATAGCATAGTTCTAAGAAAATTCACTATTCTCTTGGGTTTGTTTGGTTAGCGTGAAGGAAAAGAAACGGAATATTTTTTTAATTTTTTGAAGTTTGGTTACCTAAAAAGAAAAAATTTTGGAGAAAGTCAATTCCCGTATCGGATAAATTTTCCTAAAATATTTCCTCGCATAAAACATAAGAAAGTTTCTCGCTCGAAACTGTCCTTTAATATCTAAATTTCCTATTATGCCCGGATTGAATTGTTTCTCTAATTTTTTTCAAAGTGGTTATTAAGTTACGCCATCTATTTACTAGTACACATATTTGGATTCATCATATCATATCTATTTACTATTTACCAATCTTGTTAATTGCATAAATATTATGCCCCTTAAGTCTTTCCAAATATCAAGTATGTCATTTGAATAACAAAAGTCCACAATACCCTATAGATATATGAGAAGACATGAATTAGAGTCATATGGATGGAAATCAAAATAATATTTATTTTTAATTATCTATACGGTTTTGAAACTTAATAGAGCTTTATATTCTAATAATATGTGATTTTTGTATAAAAAAATTTGCATGGTTCATAGTCATAAAATATGGAAGTGAACCGATAAATTATGCATGAACAAATAAATCATTATGCATTAACTATAAAATGTTACTTTTGCATGACCAATTTTATCCTAGAGTATTGTCATTTAGTGTTTCTTCGAGGGGCTTGCAAAAAATATTATATTTAATATTCCAATAAAAACACGAGTATGTTATGATAAATGAACTACATTCTACATATGAATATAAATAATTATTATTTAAAACACAAAATAAAAAGAATTTGATAACTAAAATCCAGTCCTCCTTAGTTTGTTCTAATTTAAATATGAATATAAATAATAATAATTATTATTAATAATCCATCATTTTACTATTTATTTGTTAAAAATTAATATAAATAATTAAGTATAAAGAGGATTCATCTAACACAAAATTAGTTTATTTTTAAGTATTTGAAATCATGAGGGTAGTTTTGGTAAGTAAATCATTTTCTTTTCTTTTTCATGCTATCAAAACTAGCAAAATAATATTTTCCCACAACTTTCATGAAAAAATTTCCTGCTAACCAAATGCATGCTGGAAACTTGATTTTCCTTTATTTCACTTTCACTTTCCATCATACATTTCTGTCTAACCAAACAGATCCTTAAGTCTTGAATCTTGAGAGCGAATATAAACAACTAACAAGGGCATAATGGGGAGAAAATTTTAATTATGCCGGTTGTAGCGATGACATAGTACCAGGCTATTAAATATTGTCATATAGTGATAAGATCCATTAAAGCATAACACTTTTTCTTATGTGACATAATACAATTGATTCAATGATGACGAAGTATTAAATGTACATAAAAGTAATAGGAACTATAATTTTCTCGACGAAACATTCTCAGAAAAATCAACAAGTTGTGTGAATCTTATTTTCCTGAAAACTTTTATTTTCATGGTAACAAAACTCAAAAAAAAAAAAAAAAAAAAAAAAAAAAAATTCGTTTCTTTGCATGTTAGTTAACGCTAACCACACCAAGCCTTAATGACAAACCAAACATCAAAATCACTATCCCTCCTTTACTTTTATTTTATTTTCTTTTCAAATACCTCAATCCAGGCAAAGCGTTCATCATCTCACTTATTGGAGAAGATTTAAACATGTACTTTCATTTCTTTTTTTGTTTTAAACTATAAGATTGTATTTTCTTTTATTTTCGTCTAATCTCTTCAATCCAAACACATTCTAGTGTCTCGGATTTAATTTCATGTTTTGAAGGGGGGAAAATTTTCACTTATTCAAAACTTCCAAATGAATAGTTAAGGCTCCACTCATGTACTCGGAGAGTCAAATTTCGAAAACATATTATAGTTGTTTCCAAACTATTATCAGATTTATAATATGTTGTTTATTTCTTCCTTTCATCATCTCACTTGTGGGATAAGATTTAATCGTGTTATTTCATTTCTCTCCTCACTTTAAACTAAAAGAGTGTATTCATCAAATCTCTTCAATTCAAACGCATTATAGTGTCTCGAAGTTAATTTGGTGTTTTGAGGGAAAAAAAAAAACGTCACTTGTTCAAAATTTCAAAATGAAAAGACTTGTTTATGAAGAGATAGGGTTTGACTCATTTAAAGTTTGGTTTGAACTTGCATATTCAACAAATAAGTCAGTTCTTGATTTATAGTCATTCACAAACAGTATTGAACTCGACTTATGTACGTGAACTCATGTACAATTGTATACATTTCTGAACATATGCTCGTATATGTTCAAGAACTTAGATTCTTATCAATACATTTTTCATCTATAAAATAACTTCACTCGAAGAAAAAAACTTACGACCTAATATGCTACAATTTTTAGTTGATTAGTACTGTATTTATTGTATTTTGAATGATCAATGAGAAGTTTTAGCCAAAAATAAAAAAAAAATAAAAAAAGAAAAACTACAATACGAGATAATCTGCTAAGGTTTGTAGCCGAGGAATCTTGACCTGTTTAAAAGACCGGCATTTGGATAGTAGTTTACTTTATTCACACTACACATTGGAGTGTATATATAAATTAGTAATTTTTTGATTGACAGATCTTGACCTTTAACAAATTTCTGGTTGAGCTCTAGGTTTAGTTTGGTTAGCGCTAATTAGCGAGAAAGAAAAAG